CTGCCCTGCACCAAAAAAAACGATGGTGGGGACCAAATCTCAGAATTCACACACATTGCAAACCAAGTCGCGGAGCACAACACAAGCCTCCAATCCAAATCAAGTCGCTAAACACAAGTCGCGAAACATCCCACCGGTCCAATCAAACAGCACAAGCCATGCCAGCTAGCGCGGTCTGGGAAGTGACAGAAACGAGACTCGGATGATGTACAATCCAATATACAGTCATTGGTGCAGCGCTGGCGCGCTGCGCGATCCGCCTGGTGCCTGCAAACTTACTTTCTTATCAATCTATTCCCATGTACATGGGAATAGATTGATAAGAATGTAAGTTTGCATTTTCCTGGTTTATGTTTTCCTTCACGATGCATGCATTGTTATAAGCAAATATTCCAGAAAACAAGTGGGCTGACCTGGTGTTGGTTGGTACATCTGCAGCAAAATCTTAGGCTAGCTAGTTCCTAGCTACCTATTTTTTAGCTATCTATTTGCTAGCTACCTAATTCCTGGCTAGTTATAGCCTGGCCTTGCCAATTCCTAGCTAGCCAATTTCTGGCCTGCCAACTCCTTGCTAACTCCTAGCCAATTCCTAGCTTGCTATTTCCTAGCTAGTAGCTAGTTAATTCCTAGCCAGCCAAATCATAGCTGGTAACTAGTTCCTAGCCAGCCACATCCTAGCAAGCTAATCCCTAGCTAGCTGCCGTAATTCCTAGTCAACCAATCCTAACTACCGTAGCTAATTTGTAGATAGTTTACTACTCCTGGCTAACCTACGAGAAAGGGGCATCTGCTGAGGGCGTGTTCCGGCTTCGTCTGTACGCTGTAAACCGATTGGATGTATCAGGGATGTGTCAGGAAGATGCTTCCTTGTGTCACACTCATTGTGGAGTTGATGAAAAGACTGACGTTGAAGATAATGAACCATCTCAAATCGACACGCAACAGGGCCTGGCCTGCAATCGTGCCAACCAAGCTATGGCCCGATACAAACACAGAGACTCAAAAGCTTGAAGCAATCTAATTCAGTAACGCACCACTACCATGCGCTTGACATGATGTCATTCAACACAGAAACCTTGGTCGTCACGATGCAAGTGTGTAACACTCTATCATGCAGTTGCTTGAACCTAGTTTCACATCAACACGAAGCCACAAGGTACTTTATACGATACCTTGTGCACACCGATGCTGCTCTACTCTAAATATCCAGCCTCAGCATTCACCTAGGAGGCGGAATCCCTCCACCACCCCGCACTGATATCATCCAGCTCAATCGTCCTATACTTCTGCGAAACCAGCTCCGCCTGCACCTTCCTGGCTGTATCGGTAGCGCATCCGACTAAATGAGGATGGACGTTCCAGCAAACCCCCGGAAGGCGTGAGGTGAGTGATTCCTTCCACAAGAGCCGGCGCTGCTGCCATCGTGCCGAGAAACGCCGACCCGAGCACCGAAATGCGGGTGAGGAACCTGGTGTTAAGTAGTTAAAGACGCAAGAGTAATGGGAGAAAAGGGAGAAGGGGATGGGAGGGGGAAGGAGAAGCCAAAGAGGGAAATGAAACACGAGTGGGGAAGGGCTGAGAGGGAGCCGGCCAGGAGTCATCATGGAGTGTTTGCGAGGCCAAACGGAGCTTGGTGATGAGCAATGGCTGCTGCCTTGCCAGGCCTGGTGTAGGCCACAGACTGCGCCCTGCCTCTTGAGAAAGTGGCCGTATGCCGGATTTACGAACGTACAATGAGTGAACAAGGGTCGACTCACCTTGGTGATGAGTGCGGCTGTTGCTTTGCCGGGCCTTCGTGTTGGGTACGGACGCAACCTGCCCTCTTGGAGCTGGGTCGCTGGACATCAGCAGGTTCGATTGGCATGGAAGGTGTAGAAGTAGTTGAAGAAGGCCAATGAGTGCCACGTTGGCGGGAGAGGTATGAAGAAACCTGGGGATTAGCGGAAAACACTGGGGAGAGAGGATGTTGATTGAAGATGCAAGGAGAAAGAGAGGAGAAGGGAGCGAGTAAGTGAGTTTGCAGGAAGTGTAGAAGTAGTTGAGAAGGCGAACAGTGCCACGTTAGCAGGCAGATAGAAGAAACCTGGAGATTAGCGGAACACATGGGGAGAGAGGATGTTGATTGAAGATGCAAGGAGAAGAAGGAGAAGGAGCGAGTAGTGAGTTGCAGGAAGGTGTGGAAGTAGTTGAGAAAGGCGAACAGTGCCACGTTAGCAGGCAGATAGAAGACACTGGAGATTAGCGGAACACATGGGGAGAGAGGATGTTGATTGAGATGCAAGGAGAAAAGACAAGGAGAAAGGAGCGAGTAAGTGAGTTGCAGGAAGGGTGGGGAAGTAGTTGAAAGAATGCATCAGTGCCACTTGGCGGGGAGGTAGAAGAAACCTGGGATGAGTGGAGCAGGGAAATCAAAGGGAGTGGAGGAGGGAGAGGGAGCAGGGAGAGGAGTGAGTGAGTTGCAGGAAGGTGTAGAAGTAGTTGAAGAATGCGATGAGTGCCACGTTGCAGGCGGGTAGAGGAGACCTGGGGATTAGTGGAACACATGGTGGTAAAAAGAGTGAGAGGATGACGGAAAAGCAGAGTGATAAATTTGCAGTAAGGTGTAGAAGTAGTTGAAGAAAGCGATCAGTGCCACGTTGGCAGGCAGATAGATCGGTAAAGCGAGCTATGGAGTAGGGAGCAGGAGCAGTCTGGTTACCCTATTACTGACCTGTGGTTACCATGTAACATACCTCCAGGGTAGAGAGCTGTAGCAGCGGACTGGAAAGCAGCACTTCCGGTAAAGCGAGCGATGGAGTAGGGAGCAGCGAGGAGCGAGGAAGAGAAGATAATTGGCATGACTCCCGTTGAGTTGACCTGCAGAGGGGGGAAGAGGAAGAGACGGGTAGAGGGTAGATGAGAAAGATGTTGATCCGAGAGGGTGGAACATAAGAAAGACAAAGGAGAGAGGAGGAGAAGACGATTGGCATGACTTTCGTTGAGTTGACCTGCGGGGGGGATTAGAGGTTGGATAAGAGAAAAGAGGTGGTTGTGAGAGAGGGGTGGTTGGAGAGAATGGGTAGATGAGAGAGAAAGGAACGGCAGATAATTGAGAAGAGAGGAGTAAACGTGAGGCATGGCTTCTGTTGAGTTGAGTGTGGGGGTTGGTGGGGGGGGGGGGGGAAGGGTGAGTGAGTGAGGGGTCGATGCAAGAAAAAGAAAGCGGTGTGTTACATTCGCGGGAGAGATGCTACCTTCGAGGGGGAGGTGTTACCTTCCAGGGGGAGGTGCTGCCTTTCAGGGGGAGGTGTAACCTTCCAGAGGGAGGTGCTGCCTTTCAGGGGGAGGTGTTGCCTTTCAGGGGGAGGTGTTACCTTGAATGGCAGGTACGCATTCCGCGTCTTGATGTTGTACCGAGACGCATAGTTGATTGGAATACGCCGCTCTGCCTCCTGCTCGGTGGAAGGGATTAAGTTGTGGTGGTGGTGGGGGTGGTGGGGGTGGTAGGGGGAGTGGGAAGAACGGAGAAAAGAGGACGGGGAATTTGAATTGGTTGTATCGAGACACATAGTTGACGGGAATACGCCGCTCTGCTTCCTGCTTGGAGGGAAAGGGGTAGTGGATAGGGTAGAGGGTGGGAGGGGAAGGGGAGGAGAGGGTAGAAAGAGAGTAGAGGGTGAGATGGTGCATGGGGTTGGTTGTACCGTTATGCGTAGTTGATGGGGATGTGACACTCTGCCTCCTACTCGGAGGGAAGGGGGAAGTTGGAGCTGGTTGTAGCGGCACATAGTTGTTGGGAATGCGACTCCCCGCCTTCTGCTCAGAAGGCTGGCAGGCAGGCCGGCAGAGAGGCATAGAGCAGGAACCCACCTGCACCCATTCACACCCACCTGCACGTAGACAATCCCAAGGACGAGCAGCAGGAAGGAGGCCAGCAGCAGCGCCTCGCCGGTAACGTTCCCCTGCTCAGACGCCTCTGTGATGCAGGTAGGCAGGCAGGAGGAATATAGCACACCCATCCACACCCATCTGTACCGCACCCACCTGCACGTAGACGATGCCGAACACGAGCAGCAGGAAGGACGCGAGCAGCAGCGCCTCTCCGGTCACATTCCCTTGTTCAGAAGCCTCTGTGATCGTCCTCCCAATGGACGCCGGCAGGTAGGAAACGATATTGGTGAAGATGAGCAGAGAGGTGCCGTTGCCGAGCTTGAGATCAGTGATCTTGTCTCCCAGCAGGATGACTGCCACGGATCCCAAAGTGAGGCCCGAGACGGCGGAGACTGCCCAGGCGACCGACGGGTCGTAGGCGTACTGCTGTAGATATGCCACCTGTCCGATAGCCTGGGAGGAGGGCGAGAGGCAGGGAGGAAGGGAGAGCTTGAGGTGGGTGATCCTGTCTCCCAGGAGGATGACTGCCACGGATCCGACAGTCAGGCCTGAGACGGCTGAGACTGCCCAGGCGACCGAGGGGTCGTAGGCGTACTGCTGCAGATATGCCACCTGTCCGATTGCCTGGGAGGAGGGCGAGAGGCAGGGAGGAAGGGAGAGCTTGAGGTGGGTGATCCTGTCTCCCAGGAGGATGACTGCCACGGATCCGACAGTCAGGCCTGAGACGGCTGAGACTGCCCAAGCGACTGATGGGTCGTATGCGTACTGCTGCAGGTAGGCCACTTGGCCGATAGCCTGGGGAGTGGAGGGGGGCAGGGAGAAGGAGAGCTTGAGGTGGGTCGGTGATCTTGTCTCCCCGCAGTGGGGCGACTGAGGGGTCGTATGCGTACAACTGGAGGTAGGCCACTTGGCCTATGGCCTGGGGAGTGGAGGGGGAAGAATAGGGTGGGAAGCGGTGGGGTTGGGTTGAGGAGGGGCGACTGAGTGGTCGTATGCGTACTGCTGGAGGTAGGCCACTTGGCCGATAGCCTGTTGGCAGTGGAGGGGGGCAGGGAGAAGGAGAGCTTGAGGTGGGTCGGTGATCTTGTCTCCCCGCACGATGACTGCTACGGACCCGAGGCGCTCGTAATCTAGTAAAGACAAGAAGAATGTAATGAAATCAGGTAACGTACCTGCAGGGCACCGAACGCCACAGCCATATACTTCATGTACTGCTGCGCTTTCTTCCTCCCCGCCTCCCCCTCCTTCTTCTGCAGATCCCCAATCTTAGGGTACAGCGTCCCCAGCAGCTGGAACACGATCTGAGCGTTGATATACGGCACGATGCCCAGCGAAAACAATCCCAGCCGTCCAATCCCGCCCCCTGAGAGCGTGTCTAGGGTGGCCAGGAATGAGCCCTCCCCCAGTTGCTCCTGGAAGGCGGAGATATCGACGCCCCACAGGGGAATGTAGATTCCCACGCGGGATAGCGCGAGCAGACCCAGGAGCATGAGGAATTTCTTGGGTAAATCGCCCTTGAAAAAGTCGCCGATGTCGATCTTGCTGTCCTCCACTGGAAAGGTGGTGCGGGTCAGGTCAGGGGAGAGGTGGAAACGGGAGGCAGAGGGGGGAGAAAGAGGAGGGAGAACAAGGCAGAGAAAGGCAGAGAGATATAGTGGGAAGGCGGGGAGGAGGGATGAGGGAGAGATTGAAGCAGGGGAGGAAAAAAGGAAGAGGGAATTCGGTTTAGTCTTTTTTTTTTTCCCTCGCCCCCCCAAGTCCCCCAAGTCCCCCCCCCCTCCCCCCCACCCGGGGGGGGATGGAGGGTGGGGGAGAGGGGACAGGGGGGACGGGAGGGTGGGAGGAAAGGAATAACATTCTGATGTATGTATTGAAATAATATCACAATCAAGAATCACGGAATATTCTCTCAAATTCAAGCTAGAATCAGCCAACCAGGCTTTGTGACTGTGACTGTAATGAAGGTGGCTGTAATGAAGGCGACTCGACCCGGGGGTTACTGCAATGAAGGCGACTCGACTCGGGGGTGACTGCAATGAAGGCGACTCGACTCGGGGGTGACTGCAATGAAGGCGACTCGACTCGGGGGTGACTGCAATGAAGGCGACTCGACTCGGGGGTGACTGTAATGAATGCGACTCGACCCGGGATTGACTGTAATGAAGGCGACTCGACTCGCGGTCGGCGTGACTATAACCAAGTTCAGGGCGGCATGGCCAGCCTCCTGTCAAGAGAGCATGCCACGTCAGCACTTGTTGCCACGTCAGCAGGACCTGGGTTGAGGTAGGGCCTGGGTCCGGTTCGGGTATGGGCTGCCTCACGTCTCTGCCCCGGGCCTCACGTCTCTGCCCCGGGCCTCACATCTCTGCCCCGGGCCTCACGTCTCTGCCCCGGGCCTCACATCTCTGCCCCGGGCCTCACATCTCTGCCCCGGGCCTCACGTCTCTGCCCCGGGCCTCACGTCTCTGCCCCGGGCCTCACATCTCTGCCCCGGGCCTCACATCTCTGCCCCGGGCCTCACATCTCTGCCCCGGGCCTCACATCTCTGCCCCGGGCCTCAATACCTACCATAACCAACAAACACCACCTAACATTATCTACCACAGAAACATAACATAATCCTAAACAGCACCTAAGTAAGTTTGATGCATTTTTTGTGAACATTTCTAGACATTACTACGGTACGGGGAATCTTTATCGCACCTGCAATTCGTAGTGGCACCTGTGCAAGGTCCACGGGGGGGAGGGGCGGGAGAGAGAGGAGGACGAGAGGAGAAGAGGAAATGCGGGTCAGGGGAGGTGCTATGAGGGGCAGGGCAGGGGGGTGATGATAGCAGCAAGCACTGCAATAAGAGCCGCAGCATAAGCAAGCAAAGCTCATTCCCCCCCACCTCCATGCGCATTTCCCCCCTGCACCGCACACCACCCCACCCCACCCAACACACTCACCATGTCGTGGCCGGCAGTTGGTGAGCTCGATGGAGGTGGCGACTCCCTCCCCCGCCATCTCCCTGACATGGCGGAACGGACGGCACGAGCAAACGGGGCAAAGCATGGGCAAAGGGGGCAACGCATGAGCAGAGGGGGAAAGGCATGGGCAGGGAGAACGGCATGAGCAGAGGGGGAAAGGCATGGGCAGGGAGAACGGCATGAGCAGAGGGGGAAAGGCATGCGCAAGGCGGGAATGCATGGGAAAGGCGGAAAGGCATGCGCAAGGCGGAAAGGCATGCGCAAGGCGGAAAGGCATGCGCAAGGCGGAAAGGCATGGGGAAGGCGGAAAGGCATGGGGAAGGCGGAAATGCATGGGCAAGGCGGAAAGGCAGGGGAAAGGCGGACATGCATGCGCAAGGCGGAAAGGCATGGGAAAAGGGGGGAACGGCGCGCTGACCTGCTCCGCGTGCAGCATGCTCGCCGGTGCTGTCCGCGCGGCCAGCAGCGCGCGCGGCGCTACCTGGTGAGCGCGGTGGGCGCCGTCACGGCGGGTGGAGCGGCGGCGGGTAGGCGCTGCTACGCTGGAGCCTGTCGTCCCTGCACAGCAAGGGGAGGGAGGGGCAGAGGGAGAGCGGAGGAAGGGACGGAGGGAGAGAGCAACGAGAAACCAAGAAAGGCAAGAGGGGTTGAGGACTGAAGTGAACTGTTTGGAAAGAATGCTCACGTAGGAGAGAAATGGGAAACATAACGGGAATTCCAGGGAGAAAACAGATAAAGAGGACAAAACGAAATAAAGTAATAAAACAGTAGAACAAAACGGATTTTGCATGGCGCATGGCACACATGCAGTCGCATGGCGCACATGCAATCGCGTGCTCATGAAATTTCAGCGTGCGCACATGCAGTGACAGTGCGCACCTGCTGGAGGGAGGAATAAGGGCCCTCCCACAGTGCGGGAGGGATCCGCCGCCTATGTTGAATCCCATGGGGGAAGGAATTCGAAGTCTAACGTGGGGAAGGCATTTAAGACCACTGATCGAGATGGGAGAGAAGGAATGGAGATCGGGAGAGCGGAAAAACGGAGACTAACGTGGGAGACGAAATTAGGAGATGAGCTGCGACCGATATGGGAGAGAATGAGTGGATCGGGAGAGCGGAGCTATGGAAAGTAACGTGGAAAATAATGGAGTTGAGATCGAAATGGGATGGGGATGGGATTGGGAGAGAAGCAAGGAAGGAGGAGTGGAGGAGATCGGGAGAGGAGTTGGAGAGGAGAGCAAGCAAGCAGATTTTGTTGACTCTCGCCACTGTAGCGCGAAATGACCAGCACCCTCGCCTCGGTCACCAAAACAGAAACGAATTGCAACTCTTCATACAAAAAAGGAACACTCCTCACCCTGGAACATGTAAACCTAAAACGAAAATAAGAGTGTACACCTAGAATCCACCTGCCCTGCACCAAAAAAAACGATGGTGGGGACCAAATCTCAGAATTCACACACATTGCAAACCAAGTCGCGGAGCACAACACAAGCCTCCAATCCAAATCAAGTCGCTAAACACAAGTCGCGAAACATCCCACCGGTCCAATCAAACAGCACAAGCCATGCCAGCTAGCGCGGTCTGGGAAGTGACAGAAACGAGACTCGGATGATGTACAATCCAATATACAGTCATTGGTGCAGCGCTGGCGCGCTGCGCGATCCGCCTGGTGCCTGCAAACTTACTTTCTTATCAATCTATTCCCATGTACATGGGAATAGATTGATAAGAATGTAAGTTTGCATTTTCCTGGTTTATGTTTTCCTTCACGATGCATGCATTGTTATAAGCAAATATTCCAGAAAACAAGTGGGCTGACCCTGGTGTTGGTTGGTACATCTGCAGCAAAATCTTAGGCTAGCTAGTTCCTAGCTACCTATTTTTTAGCTATCTATTTGCTAGCTACCTAATTCCTGGCTAGTTATAGCCTGGCCTTGCCAATTCCTAGCTAGCCAATTTCTGGCCTGCCAACTCCTTGCTAACTCCTAGCCAATTCCTAGCTTGCTATTTCCTAGCTAGTAGCTAGTTAATTCCTAGCCAGCCAAATCATAGCTGGTAACTAGTTCCTAGCCAGCCACATCCTAGCAAGCTAATCCCTAGCTAGCTGCCGTAATTCCTAGTCAACCAAATCCTAACTACCGTAGCTAATTTGTAGATAGTTTACTACTCCTGGCTAACCTACGAGAAAGGGGCATCTGCGAGGGCGTGTTCCGGCTTCGTCTGTACGCGGTAAACACGATTGGATGTATCAGGGATGTGTCAGGAAGATGCTTCCTTGTGTCACACTCATTGTGGAGTTGATGAAAAGACTGACGTTGCAGATAATGACACCATCTCAAATCGACACGCAACAGGGCCTGGCCTGCAATCGTGCCAACCAAGCGATGGCCCGATACAAACACAGAGACTCAAAAGCTTGAAGCAATCTAATTCAGTAACGCACCACTCCATGCGCTTGACATTGATGTCATTCAACACAGAAACCTTGGTCGTCACGATGCAAGTGTGTAACACTCTATCATGCAGTTGCTTGAACCTAGTTTCACATCAACACGAAGCCACAAGGTACTTTATACGATACCTTGTGCACACCGATGCTGCTCTACTCTAAATATCCAGCCTCAGCATTCACCTAGGAGGCGGAATCCCTCCACCACCCGCACTGATATCATCCAGCTCAATCGTCCTATACTTCTGCGAAACCAGCTCCGCCTGCACCTTCCTGGCTGTATCGGTAGCGCATCCGACTAAAATGAGGATGGACGTTCCAGCAAACCCCCGGAAGGCCGTGAGGTGAGTGATTCCTTCCACAAGAGCCGGCGCTGCTGCCATCGTGCCGAGAAACGCCGACCCGAGCACCGAAATGCGGGTGAGGACCTGGTGTTAAGTAGTTAAAGAAGCAAGAGTAATGGGGAGAAAGGGAGAAGGGGATGGGAGGGGGAAGGAGAAGCCAAAGAGGGAAAGGAAACACGAGTGGGGAAAGGGCTGAGAGGGAGCCGGCCAGGAGTCATCATGGAGTGTTTGCGAGGCCAAACGGAGCTTGGTGATGAGCATGGCTGCTGCCTTGCCAGGCCTGGTGTAGGCCACAGACGCGCCCTGCCTCTTGAGAAAGTGGGCCGTATGCCGGATTTACGAACGTACAATGAGTGAACAAGGGCGACTCACCTTGGTGATGAGTGCGGCTGTTGCTTTGCCGGGCCTCGTGTTGGGTACGGACGCACCCTGCCTCTTGAGCTGGTCGCTGACATCAGCAGGGTCGAGTTGCAGGAAGGTGTAGAAGTAGTTGAAGAAGGCAATGAGTGCCACGTTGGCGGGGAGGTAGAAGAAACCTGGGGATTAGCGGAACACATGGGGAGAGAGGATGTTGATTGAAGATGCAAGGAGAAAGAAAGGAGAAGGAGCGAGTAAGTGAGTTGCAGGAAGGTGTAGAAGTAGTTGAGAAAGGCGAACAGTGCCACGTTAGCAGGCAGATAGAAGAAACCTGGAGATTAGCGGAACACATGGGGAGAGAGGATGTTGATTGAAGATGCAAGGAGAAAGAAAGGAGAAGGAGCGAGTAAGTGAGTTGCAGGAAGGTGTGGAAGTAGTTGAGAAAGGCGAACAGTGCCACGTTAGCAGGCAGATAGAAGAAACCTGGAGATTAGCGGAACACATGGGGAGAGAGGATGTTGATTGAAGATGCAAGGAGAAAGAAAGGAGAAGGAGCGAGTAAGTGAGTTGCAGGAAGGTGTGGAAGTAGTTGAAGAATGCAATCAGTGCCACGTTGGCGGGGAGGTAGAAGAAACCTGGGGATGAGTGGAGCAGGGAAATCAAAGGGAGTGGAGGAGGGAGAGGGAGCAGGGAGAGGAGTGAGTGAGTTGCAGGAAGGTGTAGAAGTAGTTGAAGAATGCGATGAGTGCCACGTTGGCAGGCGGGTAGAGGAGACCTGGGGATTAGTGGAACACATGGTGGTAAAAAGAGTGAGAGGATGACGGAAAAGCAGAGTGATAAATTTGCAGTAAGGTGTAGAAGTAGTTGAAGAAAGCGATCAGTGCCACGTTGGCAGGCAGATAGATCGGTAAAGCGAGCTATGGAGTAGGGAGCAGGAGCAGTCTGGTTACCCTATTACTGACCTGTGGTTACCATGTAACATACCTCCAGGGTAGAGAGCTGTAGCAGCGGACTGGAAAGCAGCACTTCCGGTAAAGCGAGCGATGGAGTAGGGAGCAGCGAGGAGCGAGGAAGAGAAGATAATTGGCATGACTCCCGTTGAGTTGACCTGCAGAGGGGGGAAGAGGAAGAGACGGGTAGAGGGTAGATGAGAAAGATGTTGATCCGAGAGGGTGGAACATAAGAAAGACGAAGGAGAGAGGAGGAGAAGACGATTGGCATGACTTTCGTTGAGTTGACCTGCGGGGGGGATTAGAGGTTGGATAAGAGAAAAGAGGTGGTTGTGAGAGAGGGGTGGTTGGAGAGAATGGGTAGATGAGAGAGAAAGGAACGGCAGATAATTGAGAAGAGAGGAGTAAACGTGAGGCATGGCTTCTGTTGAGTTGAGTGTGGGGGTTGGTGGGGGGGGGGGGGGAAGGGTGAGTGAGTGAGGGGTCGATGCAAGAAAAAGAAAGCGGTGTGTTACATTCGCGGGAGAGATGCTACCTTCGAGGGGGAGGTGTTACCTTCCAGGGGGAGGTGCTGCCTTTCAGGGGGAGGTGTAACCTTCCAGAGGGAGGTGCTGCCTTTCAGGGGGAGGTGTTGCCTTTCAGGGGGAGGTGTTACCTTGAATGGCAGGTACGCATTCCGCGTCTTGATGTTGTACCGAGACGCATAGTTGATTGGAATACGCCGCTCTGCCTCCTGCTCGGTGGAAGGGATTAAGTTGTGGTGGTGGTGGGGGTGGTGGGGGTGGTAGGGGGAGTGGGAAGAACGGAGAAAAGAGGACGGGGAATTTGAATTGGTTGTATCGAGACACATAGTTGACGGGAATACGCCGCTCTGCTTCCTGCTTGGAGGGAAAGGGGTAGTGGATAGGGTAGAGGGTGGGAGGGGAAGGGGAGGAGAGGGTAGAAAGAGAGTAGAGGGTGAGATGGTGCATGGGGTTGGTTGTACCGTTATGCGTAGTTGATGGGGATGTGACACTCTGCCTCCTACTCGGAGGGAAGGGGGAAGTTGGAGCTGGTTGTAGCGGCACATAGTTGTTGGGAATGCGACTCCCCGCCTTCTGCTCAGAAGGCTGGCAGGCAGGCCGGCAGAGAGGCATAGAGCAGGAACCCACCTGCACCCATTCACACCCACCTGCACGTAGACAATCCCAAGGACGAGCAGCAGGAAGGAGGCCAGCAGCAGCGCCTCGCCGGTAACGTTCCCCTGCTCAGACGCCTCTGTGATGCAGGTAGGCAGGCAGGAGGAATATAGCACACCCATCCACACCCATCTGTACCGCACCCACCTGCACGTAGACGATGCCGAACACGAGCAGCAGGAAGGACGCGAGCAGCAGCGCCTCTCCGGTCACATTCCCTTGTTCAGAAGCCTCTGTGATCGTCCTCCCAATGGACGCCGGCAGGTAGGAAACGATATTGGTGAAGATGAGCAGAGAGGTGCCGTTGCCGAGCTTGAGATCAGTGATCTTGTCTCCCAGCAGGATGACTGCCACGGATCCCAAAGTGAGGCCCGAGACGGCGGAGACTGCCCAGGCGACCGACGGGTCGTAGGCGTACTGCTGTAGATATGCCACCTGTCCGATAGCCTGGGAGGAGGGCGAGAGGCAGGGAGGAAGGGAGAGCTTGAGGTGGGTGATCCTGTCTCCCAGGAGGATGACTGCCACGGATCCGACAGTCAGGCCTGAGACGGCTGAGACTGCCCAGGCGACCGAGGGGTCGTAGGCGTACTGCTGCAGATATGCCACCTGTCCGATTGCCTGGGAGGAGGGCGAGAGGCAGGGAGGAAGGGAGAGCTTGAGGTGGGTGATCCTGTCTCCCAGGAGGATGACTGCCACGGATCCGACAGTCAGGCCTGAGACGGCTGAGACTGCCCAAGCGACTGATGGGTCGTATGCGTACTGCTGCAGGTAGGCCACTTGGCCGATAGCCTGGGGAGTGGAGGGGGGCAGGGAGAAGGAGAGCTTGAGGTGGGTCGGTGATCTTGTCTCCCCGCAGTGGGGCGACTGAGGGGTCGTATGCGTACAACTGGAGGTAGGCCACTTGGCCTATGGCCTGGGGAGTGGAGGGGGAAGAATAGGGTGGGAAGCGGTGGGGTTGGGTTGAGGAGGGGCGACTGAGTGGTCGTATGCGTACTGCTGGAGGTAGGCCACTTGGCCGATAGCCTGTTGGCAGTGGAGGGGGGCAGGGAGAAGGAGAGCTTGAGGTGGGTCGGTGATCTTGTCTCCCCGCACGATGACTGCTACGGACCCGAGGCGCTCGTAATCTAGTAAAGACAAGAAGAATGTAATGAAATCAGGTAACGTACCTGCAGGGCACCGAACGCCACAGCCATATACTTCATGTACTGCTGCGCTTTCTTCCTCCCCGCCTCCCCCTCCTTCTTCTGCAGATCCCCAATCTTAGGGTACAGCGTCCCCAGCAGCTGGAACACGATCTGAGCGTTGATATACGGCACGATGCCCAGCGAAAACAATCCCAGCCGTCCAATCCCGCCCCCTGAGAGCGTGTCTAGGGTGGCCAGGAATGAGCCCTCCCCCAGTTGCTCCTGGAAGGCGGAGATATCGACGCCCCACAGGGGAATGTAGATTCCCACGCGGGATAGCGCGAGCAGACCCAGGAGCATGAGGAATTTCTTGGGTAAATCGCCCTTGAAAAAGTCGCCGATGTCGATCTTGCTGTCCTCCACTGGAAAGGTGGTGCGGGTCAGGTCAGGGGAGAGGTGGAAACGGGAGGCAGAGGGGGGAGAAAGAGGAGGGAGAACAAGGCAGAGAAAGGCAGAGAGATATAGTGGGAAGGCGGGGAGGAGGGATGAGGGAGAGATTGAAGCAGGGGAGGAAAAAAGGAAGAGGGAATTCGGTTTAGTCTTTTTTTTTTCCCTCGCCCCCCCAAGTCCCCCAAGTCCCCCCCCCCCTCCCCCCCACCCGGGGGGGGATGGAGGGTGGGGGAGAGGGGACAGGGGGGACGGGAGGGTGGGAGGAAAGGAATAACATTCTGATGTATGTATTGAAATAATATCACAATCAAGAATCACGGAATATTCTCTCAAATTCAAGCTAGAATCAGCCAACCAGGCTTTGTGACTGTGACTGTAATGAAGGTGGCTGTAATGAAGGCGACTCGACCCGGGGGTTACTGCAATGAAGGCGACTCGACTCGGGGGTGACTGCAATGAAGGCGACTCGACTCGGGGGTGACTGCAATGAAGGCGACTCGACTCGGGGGTGACTGCAATGAAGGCGACTCGACTCGGGGGTGACTGTAATGAATGCGACTCGACCCGGGATTGACTGTAATGAAGGCGACTCGACTCGCGGTCGGCGTGACTATAACCAAGTTCAGGGCGGCATGGCCAGCCTCCTGTCAAGAGAGCATGCCACGTCAGCACTTGTTGCCACGTCAGCAGGACCTGGGTTGAGGTAGGGCCTGGGTCCGGTTCGGGTATGGGCTGCCTCACGTCTCTGCCCCGGGCCTCACGTCTCTGCCCCGGGCCTCACATCTCTGCCCCGGGCCTCACGTCTCTGCCCCGGGCCTCACATCTCTGCCCCGGGCCTCACATCTCTGCCCCGGGCCTCACGTCTCTGCCCCGGGCCTCACGTCTCTGCCCCGGGCCTCACATCTCTGCCCCGGGCCTCACATCTCTGCCCCGGGCCTCACATCTCTGCCCCGGGCCTCACATCTCTGCCCCGGGCCTCAATACCTACCATAACCAACAAACACCACCTAACATTATCTACCACAGAAACATAACATAATCCTAAACAGCACCTAAGTAAGTTTGATGCATTTTTTGTGAACATTTCTAGACATTACTACGGTACGGGGAATCTTTATCGCACCTGCAATTCGTAGTGGCACCTGTGCAAGGTCCACGGGGGGGAGGGGCGGGAGAGAGAGGAGGACGAGAGGAGAAGAGGAAATGCGGGTCAGGGGAGGTGCTATGAGGGGCAGGGCAGGGGGGTGATGATAGCAGCAAGCACTGCAATAAGAGCCGCAGCATAAGCAAGCAAAGCTCATTCCCCCCCACCTCCATGCGCATTTCCCCCCTGCACCGCACACCACCCCACCCCACCCAACACACTCACCATGTCGTGGCCGGCAGTTGGTGAGCTCGATGGAGGTGGCGACTCCCTCCCCCGCCATCTCCCTGACATGGCGGAACGGACGGCACGAGCAAACGGGGCAAAGCATGGGCAAAGGGGGCAACGCATGAGCAGAGGGGGAAAGGCATGGGCAGGGAGAACGGCATGAGCAGAGGGGGAAAGGCATGGGCAGGGAGAACGGCATGAGCAGAGGGGGAAAGGCATGCGCAAGGCGGGAATGCATGGGAAAGGCGGAAAGGCATGCGCAAGGCGGAAAGGCATGCGCAAGGCGGAAAGGCATGCGCAAGGCGGAAAGGCATGGGGAAGGCGGAAAGGCATGGGGAAGGCGGAAATGCATGGGCAAGGCGGAAAGGCAGGGGAAAGGCGGACATGCATGCGCAAGGCGGAAAGGCATGGGAAAAGGGGGGAACGGCGCGCTGACCTGCTCCGCGTGCAGCATGCTCGCCGGTGCTGTCCGCGCGGCCAGCAGCGCGCGCGGCGCTACCTGGTGAGCGCGGTGGGCGCCGTCACGGCGGGTGGAGCGGCGGCGGGTAGGCGCTGCTACGCTGGAGCCTGTCGTCCCTGCACAGCAAGGGGAGGGAGGGGCAGAGGGAGAGCGGAGGAAGGGACGGAGGGAGAGAGCAACGAGAAACCAAGAAAGGCAAGAGGGGTTGAGGACTGAAGTGAACTGTTTGGAAAGAATGCTCACGTAGGAGAGAAATGGGAAACATAACGGGAATTCCAGGGAGAAAACAGATAAAGAGGACAAAACGAAATAAAGTAATAAAACAGTAGAACAAAACGGATTTTGCATGGCGCATGGCACACATGCAGTCGCATGGCGCACATGCAATCGCGTGCTCATGAAATTTCAGCGTGCGCACATGCAGTGACAGTGCGCACCTGCTGGAGGGAGGAATAAGGGCCCTCCCACAGTGCGGGAGGGATCCGCCGCCTATGTTGAATCCCATGGGGGAAGGAATTCGAAGTCTAACGTGGGGAAGGCATTTAAGACCACTGATCGAGATGGGAGAGAAGGAATGGAGATCGGGAGAGCGGAAAAACGGAGACTAACGTGGGAGACGAAATTAGGAGATGAGCTGCGACCGATATGGGAGAGAATGAGTGGATCGGGAGAGCGGAGCTATGGAAAGTAACGTGGAAAATAATGGAGTTGAGATCGAAATGGGATGGGGATGGGATTGGGAGAGAAGCAAGGAAGGAGGAGTGGAGGAGATCGGGAGAGGAGTTGGAGAGGAGAGCAAGCAAGCAGATTTTGTTGACTCTCGCCACTGTAGCGCGAAATGACCAGCACCCTCGCCTCGGTCACCAAAACAGAAACGAATTGCAACTCTTCATACAAAAAAGGAACACTCCTCACCCTGGAACATGTAAACCTAAAACGAAAATAAGAGTGTACACCTAGAATCCACCTGCCCTGCACCAAAAAAACGATGGTGGGGACCAAATCTCAGAATTCACACACATTGCAAACCAAGTCGCGGAGCACAACACAAGCCTCCAATCCAAATCAAGTCGCTAAACACAAGTCGCGAAACATCCCACCGGTCCAATCAAACAGCACAAGCCATGCCAGCTAGCGCGGTCTGGGAAGTGACAGAAACGAGACTCGGATGATGTACAATCCAATATACAGTCATTGGTGCAGCGCTGGCGCGCTGCGCGATCCGCCTGGTGCCTGCAAACTTACTTTCTTATCAATCTATTCCCATGTACATGGGAATAGATTGATAAGAATGTAAGTTTGCATTTTCCTGGTTTATGTTTTCCTTCACGATGCATGCATTGTTATAAGCAAATATTCCAGAAAACAAGTGGGCTGACCCTGGTGTTGGTTGGTACATCTGCAGCAAAATCTTAGGCTAGCTAGTTCCTAGCTACCTATTTTTTAGCTATCTATTTGCTAGCTACCTAATTCCTGGCTAGTTATAGCCTGGCCTTGCCAATTCCTAGCTAGCCAATTTCTGGCCTGCCAACTCCTTGCTAACTCCTAGCCAATTCCTAGCTTGCTATTTCCTAGCTAGTAGCTAGTTAATTCCTAGCCAGCCAAATCATAGCTGGTAACTAGTTCCTAGCCAGCCACATCCTAGCAAGCTAATCCCTAGCTAGCTGCCGTAATTCCTAGTCAACCAAATCCTAACTACCGTAGCTAATTTGTAGATAGTTTACTACTCCTGGCTAACCTACGAGAAAGGGGCATCTGCGAGGGCGTGTTCCGGCTTCGTCTGTACGCGGTAAACACGATTGGATGTATCAGGGATGTGTCAGGAAGATGCTTCCTTGTGTCACACTCATTGTGGAGTTGATGAAAAGACTGACGTTGCAGATAATGACACCATCTCAAATCGACACGCAACAGGGCCTGGCCTGCAATCGTGCCAACCAAGCGATGGCCCGATACAAACACAGAGACTCAAAAGCTTGAAGCAATCTAATTCAGTAACGCACCACTCCATGCGCTTGACATTGATGTCATTCAACACAGAAACCTTGGTCGTCACGATGCAAGTGTGTAACACTCTATCATGCAGTTGCTTGAACCTAGTTTCACATCAACACGAAGCCACAAGGTACTTTATACGATACCTTGTGCACACCGATGCTGCTCTACTCTAAATATCCAGCCTCAGCATTCACCTAGGAGGCGGAATCCCTCCACCACCCGCACTGATATCATCCAGCTCAATCGTCCTATACTTCTGCGAAACCAGCTCCGCCTGCACCTTCCTGGCTGTATCGGTAGCGCATCCGACTAAAATGAGGATGGACGTTCCAGCAAACCCCCGGAAGGCCGTGAGGTGAGTGATTCCTTCCACAAGAGCCGGCGCTGCTGCCATCGTGCCGAGAAACGCCGACCCGAGCACCGAAATGCGGGTGAGGACCTGGTGTTAAGTAGTTAAAGAAGCAAGAGTAATGGGGAGAAAGGGAGAAGGGGATGGGAGGGGGAAGGAGAAGCCAAAGAGGGAAAGGAAACACGAGTGGGGAAAGGGCTGAGAGGGAGCCGGCCAGGAGTCATCATGGAGTGTTTGCGAGGCCAAACGGAGCTTGGTGATGAGCATGGCTGCTGCCTTGCCAGGCCTGGTGTAGGCCACAGACGCGCCCTGCCTCTTGAGAAAGTGGGCCGTATGCCGGATTTACGAACGTACAATGAGTGAACAAGGGCGACTCACCTTGGTGATGAGTGCGGCTGTTGCTTTGCCGGGCCTCGTGTTGGGTACGGACGCACCCTGCCTCTTGAGCTGGTCGCTGACATCAGCAGGGTCGAGTTGCAGGAAGGTGTAGAAGTAGTTGAAGAAGGCAATGAGTGCCACGTTGGCGGGGAGGTAGAAGAAACCTGGGGATTAGCGGAACACATGGGGAGAGAGGATGTTGATTGAAGATGCAAGGAGAAAGAAAGGAGAAGGAGCGAGTAAGTGAGTTGCAGGAAGGTGTAGAAGTAGTTGAGAAAGGCGAACAGTGCCACGTTAGCAGGCAGATAGAAGAAACCTGGAGATTAGCGGAACACATGGGGAGAGAGGATGTTGATTGAAGATGCAAGGAGAAAGAAAGGAGAAGGAGCGAGTAAGTGAGTTGCAGGAAGGTGTGGAAGTAGTTGAGAAAGGCGAACAGTGCCACGTTAGCAGGCAGATAGAAGAAACCTGGAGATTAGCGGAACACATGGGGAGAGAGGATGTTGATTGAAGATGCAAGGAGAAAGAAAGGAGAAGGAGCGAGTAAGTGAGTTGCAGGAAGGTGTGGAAGTAGTTGAAGAATGCAATCAGTGCCACGTTGGCGGGGAGGTAGAAGAAACCTGGGGATGAGTGGAGCAGGGAAATCAAAGGGAGTGGAGGAGGGAGAGGGAGCAGGGAGAGGAGTGAGTGAGTTGCAGGAAGGTGTAGAAGTAGTTGAAGAATGCGATGAGTGCCACGTTGGCAGGCGGGTAGAGGAGACCTGGGGATTAGTGGAACACATGGTGGTAAAAAGAGTGAGAGGATGACGGAAAAGCAGAGTGATAAATTTGCAGTAAGGTGTAGAAGTAGTTGAAGAAAGCGATCAGTGCCACGTTGGCAGGCAGATAGATCGGTAAAGCGAGCTATGGAGTAGGGAGCAGGAGCAGTCTGGTTACCCTATTACTGACCTGTGGTTACCATGTAACATACCTCCAGGGTAGAGAGCTGTAGCAGCGGACTGGAAAGCAGCACTTCCGGTAAAGCGAGCGATGGAGTAGGGAGCAGCGAGGAGCGAGGAAGAGAAGATAATTGGCATGACTCCCGTTGAGTTGACCTGCAGAGGGGGGAAGAGGAAGAGACGGGTAGAGGGTAGATGAGAAAGATGTTGATCCGAGAGGGTGGAACATAAGAAAGACAAAGGAGAGAGGAGGAGAAGACGATTGGCATGACTTTCGTTGAGTTGACCTGCGGGGGGGATTAGAGGTTGGATAAGAGAAAAGAGGTGGTTGTGAGAGAGGGGTGGTTGGAGAGAATGGGTAGATGAGAGAGAAAGGAACGGCAGATAATTGAGAAGAGAGGAGTAAACGTGAGGCATGGCTTCTGTTGAGTTGAGTGTGGGGGTTGGTGGGGGGGGGGGGGGGAAGGGTGAGTGAGTGAGGGGTCGATGCAAGAAAAAGAAAGCGGTGTGTTACATTCGCGGGAGAGATGCTACCTTCGAGGGGGAGGTGTTACCTTCCAGGGGGAGGTGCTGCCTTTCAGGGGGAGGTGTAACCTTCCAGAGGGAGGTGCTGCCTTTCAGGGGGAGGTGTTGCCTTTCAGGGGGAGGTGTTACCTTGAATGGCAGGTACGCATTCCGCGTCTTGATGTTGTACCGAGACGCATAGTTGATTGGAATACGCCGCTCTGCCTCCTGCTCGGTGGAAGGGATTAAGTTGTGGTGGTGGTGGGGGTGGTGGGGGTGGTAGGGGGAGTGGGAAGAACGGAGAAAAGAGGACGGGGAATTTGAATTGGTTGTATCGAGACACATAGTTGACGGGAATACGCCGCTCTGCTTCCTGCTTGGAGGGAAAGGGGTAGTGGATAGGGTAGAGGGTGGGAGGGGAAGGGGAGGAGAGGGTAGAAAGAGAGTAGAGGGTGAGATGGTGCATGGGGTTGGTTGTACCGTTATGCGTAGTTGATGGGGATGTGACACTCTGCCTCCTACTCGGAGGGAAGGGGGAAGTTGGAGCTGGTTGTAGCGGCACATAGTTGTTGGGAATGCGACTCCCCGCCTTCTGCTCAGAAGGCTGGCAGGCAGGCCGGCAGAGAGGCATAGAGCAGGAACCCACCTGCACCCATTCACACCCACCTGCACGTAGACAATCCCAAGGACGAGCAGCAGGAAGGAGGCCAGCAGCAGCGCCTCGCCGGTAACGTTCCCCTGCTCAGACGCCTCTGTGATGCAGGTAGGCAGGCAGGAGGAATATAGCACACCCATCCACACCCATCTGTACCGCACCCACCTGCACGTAGACGATGCCGAACACGAGCAGCAGGAAGGACGCGAGCAGCAGCGCCTCTCCGGTCACATTCCCTTGTTCAGAAGCCTCTGTGATCGTCCTCCCAATGGACGCCGGCAGGTAGGAAACGATATTGGTGAAGATGAGCAGAGAGGTGCCGTTGCCGAGCTTGAGATCAGTGATCTTGTCTCCCAGCAGGATGACTGCCACGGATCCCAAAGTGAGGCCCGAGACGGCGGAGACTGCCCAGGCGACCGACGGGTCGTAGGCGTACTGCTGTAGATATGCCACCTGTCCGATAGCCTGGGAGGAGGGCGAGAGGCAGGGAGGAAGGGAGAGCTTGAGGTGGGTGATCCTGTCTCCCAGGAGGATGACTGCCACGGATCCGACAGTCAGGCCTGAGACGGCTGAGACTGCCCAGGCGACCGAGGGGTCGTAGGCGTACTGCTGCAGATATGCCACCTGTCCGATTGCCTGGGAGGAGGGCGAGAGGCAGGGAGGAAGGGAGAGCTTGAGGTGGGTGATCCTGTCTCCCAGGAGGATGACTGCCACGGATCCGACAGTCAGGCCTGAGACGGCTGAGACTGCCCAAGCGACTGATGGGTCGTATGCGTACTGCTGCAGGTAGGCCACTTGGCCGATAGCCTGGGGAGTGGAGGGGGGCAGGGAGAAGGAGAGCTTGAGGTGGGTCGGTGATCTTGTCTCCCCGCAGTGGGGCGACTGAGGGGTCGTATGCGTACAACTGGAGGTAGGCCACTTGGCCTATGGCCTGGGGAGTGGAGGGGGAAGAATAGGGTGGGAAGCGGTGGGGTTGGGTTGAGGAGGGGCGACTGAGTGGTCGTATGCGTACTGCTGGAGGTAGGCCACTTGGCCGATAGCCTGTTGGCAGTGGAGGGGGGCAGGGAGAAGGAGAGCTTGAGGTGGGTCGGTGATCTTGTCTCCCCGCACGATGACTGCTACGGACCCGAGGCGCTCGTAATCTAGTAAAGACAAGAAGAATGTAATGAAATCAGGTAACGTACCTGCAGGGCACCGAACGCCACAGCCATATACTTCATGTACTGCTGCGCTTTCTTCCTCCCCGCCTCCCCCTCCTTCTTCTGCAGATCCCCAATCTTAGGGTACAGCGTCCCCAGCAGCTGGAACACGATCTGAGCGTTGATATACGGCACGATGCCCAGCGAAAACAATCCCAGCCGTCCAATCCCGCCCCCTGAGAGCGTGTCTAGGGTGGCCAGGAATGAGCCCTCCCCCAGTTGCTCCTGGAAGGCGGAGATATCGACGCCCCACAGGGGAATGTAGATTCCCACGCGGGATAGCGCGAGCAGACCCAGGAGCATGAGGAATTTCTTGGGTAAATCGCCCTTGAAAAAGTCGCCGATGTCGATCTTGCTGTCCTCCACTGGAAAGGTGGTGCGGGTCAGGTCAGGGGAGAGGTGGAAACGGGAGGCAGAGGGGGGAGAAAGAGGAGGGAGAACAAGGCAGAGAAAGGCAGAGAGATATAGTGGGAAGGCGGGGAGGAGGGATGAGGGAGAGATTGAAGCAGGGGAGGAAAAAAGGAAGAGGGAATTCGGTTTAGTCTTTTTTTTTTCCCTCGCCCCCCCAAGTCCCCCAAGTCCCCCCCCCCCTCCCCCCCACCCGGGGGGGGATGGAGGGTGGGGGAGAGGGGACAGGGGGGACGGGAGGGTGGGAGGAAAGGAATAACATTCTGATGTATGTATTGAAATAATATCACAATCAAGAATCACGGAATATTCTCTCAAATTCAAGCTAGAATCAGCCAACCAGGCTTTGTGACTGTGACTGTAATGAAGGTGGCTGTAATGAAGGCGACTCGACCCGGGGGTTACTGCAATGAAGGCGACTCGACTCGGGGGTGACTGCAATGAAGGCGACTCGACTCGGGGGTGACTGCAATGAAGGCGACTCGACTCGGGGGTGACTGCAATGAAGGCGACTCGACTCGGGGGTGACTGTAATGAATGCGACTCGACCCGGGATTGACTGTAATGAAGGCGACTCGACTCGCGGTCGGCGTGACTATAACCAAGTTCAGGGCGGCATGGCCAGCCTCCTGTCAAGAGAGCATGCCACGTCAGCACTTGTTGCCACGTCAGCAGGACCTGGGTTGAGGTAGGGCCTGGGTCCGGTTCGGGTATGGGCTGCCTCACGTCTCTGCCCCGGGCCTCACGTCTCTGCCCCGGGCCTCACATCTCTGCCCCGGGCCTCACGTCTCTGCCCCGGGCCTCACATCTCTGCCCCGGGCCTCACATCTCTGCCCCGGGCCTCACGTCTCTGCCCCGGGCCTCACGTCTCTGCCCCGGGCCTCACATCTCTGCCCCGGGCCTCACATCTCTGCCCCGGGCCTCACATCTCTGCCCCGGGCCTCACATCTCTGCCCCGGGCCTCAATACCTACCATAACCAACAAACACCACCTAACATTATCTACCACAGAAACATAACATAATCCTAAACAGCACCTAAGTAAGTTTGATGCATTTTTTGTGAACATTTCTAGACATTACTACGGTACGGGGAATCTTTATCGCACCTGCAATTCGTAGTGGCACCTGTGCAAGGTCCACGGGGGGGAGGGGCGGGAGAGAGAGGAGGACGAGAGGAGAAGAGGAAATGCGGGTCAGGGGAGGTGCTATGAGGGGCAGGGCAGGGGGGTGATGATAGCAGCAAGCACTGCAATAAGAGCCGCAGCATAAGCAAGCAAAGCTCATTCCCCCCCACCTCCATGCGCATTTCCCCCCTGCACCGCACACCACCCCACCCCACCCAACACACTCACCATGTCGTGGCCGGCAGTTGGTGAGCTCGATGGAGGTGGCGACTCCCTCCCCCGCCATCTCCCTGACATGGCGGAACGGACGGCACGAGCAAACGGGGCAAAGCATGGGCAAAGGGGGCAACGCATGAGCAGAGGGGGAAAGGCATGGGCAGGGAGAACGGCATGAGCAGAGGGGGAAAGGCATGGGCAGGGAGAACGGCATGAGCAGAGGGGGAAAGGCATGCGCAAGGCGGGAATGCATGGGAAAGGCGGAAAGGCATGCGCAAGGCGGAAAGGCATGCGCAAGGCGGAAAGGCATGCGCAAGGCGGAAAGGCATGGGGAAGGCGGAAAGGCATGGGGAAGGCGGAAATGCATGGGCAAGGCGGAAAGGCAGGGGAAAGGCGGACATGCATGCGCAAGGCGGAAAGGCATGGGAAAAGGGGGGAACGGCGCGCTGACCTGCTCCGCGTGCAGCATGCTCGCCGGTGCTGTCCGCGCGGCCAGCAGCGCGCGCGGCGCTACCTGGTGAGCGCGGTGGGCGCCGTCACGGCGGGTGGAGCGGCGGCGGGTAGGCGCTGCTACGCTGGAGCCTGTCGTCCCTGCACAGCAAGGGGAGGGAGGGGCAGAGGGAGAGCGGAGGAAGGGACGGAGGGAGAGAGCAACGAGAAACCAAGAAAGGCAAGAGGGGTTGAGGACTGAAGTGAACTGTTTGGAAAGAATGCTCACGTAGGAGAGAAATGGGAAACATAACGGGAATTCCAGGGAGAAAACAGATAAAGAGGACAAAACGAAATAAAGTAATAAAACAGTAGAACAAAACGGATTTTGCATGGCGCATGGCACACATGCAGTCGCATGGCGCACATGCAATCGCGTGCTCATGAAATTTCAGCGTGCGCACATGCAGTGACAGTGCGCACCTGCTGGAGGGAGGAATAAGGGCCCTCCCACAGTGCGGGAGGGATCCGCCGCCTATGTTGAATCCCATGGGGGAAGGAATTCGAAGTCTAACGTGGGGAAGGCATTTAAGACCACTGATCGAGATGGGAGAGAAGGAATGGAGATCGGGAGAGCGGAAAAACGGAGACTAACGTGGGAGACGAAATTAGGAGATGAGCTGCGACCGATATGGGAGAGAATGAGTGGATCGGGAGAGCGGAGCTATGGAAAGTAACGTGGAAAATAATGGAGTTGAGATCGAAATGGGATGGGGATGGGATTGGGAGAGAAGCAAGGAAGGAGGAGTGGAGGAGATCGGGAGAGGAGTTGGAGAGGAGAGCAAGCAAGCAGATTTTGTTGACTCTCGCCACTGTAGCGCGAAATGACCAGCACCCTCGCCTCGGTCACCAAAACAGAAACGAATTGCAACTCTTCATACAAAAAAGGAACACTCCTCACCCTGGAACATGTAAACCTAAAACGAAAATAAGAGTGTACACCTAGAATCCACCTGCCCTGCACCAAAAAAACGATGGTGGGGACCAAATCTCAGAATTCACACACATTGCAAACCAAGTCGCGGAGCACAACACAAGCCTCCAATCCAAATCAAGTCGCTAAACACAAGTCGCGAAACATCCCACCGGTCCAATCAAACAGCACAAGCCATGCCAGCTAGCGCGGTCTGGGAAGTGACAGAAACGAGACTCGGATGATGTACAATCCAATATACAGTCATTGGTGCAGCGCTGGCGCGCTGCGCGATCCGCCTGGTGCCTGCAAACTTACTTTCTTATCAATCTATTCCCATGTACATGGGAATAGATTGATAAGAATGTAAGTTTGCATTTTCCTGGTTTATGTTTTCCTTCACGATGCATGCATTGTTATAAGCAAATATTCCAGAAAACAAGTGGGCTGACCCTGGTGTTGGTTGGTACATCTGCAGCAAAATCTTAGGCTAGCTAGTTCCTAGCTACCTATTTTTTAGCTATCTATTTGCTAGCTACCTAATTCCTGGCTAGTTATAGCCTGGCCTTGCCAATTCCTAGCTAGCCAATTTCTGGCCTGCCAACTCCTTGCTAACTCCTAGCCAATTCCTAGCTTGCTATTTCCTAGCTAGTAGCTAGTTAATTCCTAGCCAGCCAAATCATAGCTGGTAACTAGTTCCTAGCCAGCCACATCCTAGCAAGCTAATCCCTAGCTAGCTGCCGTAATTCCTAGTCAACCAAATCCTAACTACCGTAGCTAATTTGTAGATAGTTTACTACTCCTGGCTAACCTACGAGAAAGGGGCATCTGCGAGGGCGTGTTCCGGCTTCGTCTGTACGCGGTAAACACGATTGGATGTATCAGGGATGTGTCAGGAAGATGCTTCCTTGTGTCACACTCATTGTGGAGTTGATGAAAAGACTGACGTTGCAGATAATGACACCATCTCAAATCGACACGCAACAGGGCCTGGCCTGCAATCGTGCCAACCAAGCGATGGCCCGATACAAACACAGAGACTCAAAAGCTTGAAGCAATCTAATTCAGTAACGCACCACTCCATGCGCTTGACATTGATGTCATTCAACACAGAAACCTTGGTCGTCACGATGCAAGTGTGTAACACTCTATCATGCAGTTGCTTGAACCTAGTTTCACATCAACACGAAGCCACAAGGTACTTTATACGATACCTTGTGCACACCGATGCTGCTCTACTCTAAATATCCAGCCTCAGCATTCACCTAGGAGGCGGAATCCCTCCACCACCCGCACTGATATCATCCAGCTCAATCGTCCTATACTTCTGCGAAACCAGCTCCGCCTGCACCTTCCTGGCTGTATCGGTAGCGCATCCGACTAAAATGAGGATGGACGTTCCAGCAAACCCCCGGAAGGCCGTGAGGTGAGTGATTCCTTCCACAAGAGCCGGCGCTGCTGCCATCGTGCCGAGAAACGCCGACCCGAGCACCGAAATGCGGGTGAGGACCTGGTGTTAAGTAGTTAAAGAAGCAAGAGTAATGGGGAGAAAGGGAGAAGGGGATGGGAGGGGGAAGGAGAAGCCAAAGAGGGAAAGGAAACACGAGTGGGGAAAGGGCTGAGAGGGAGCCGGCCAGGAGTCATCATGGAGTGTTTGCGAGGCCAAACGGAGCTTGGTGATGAGCATGGCTGCTGCCTTGCCAGGCCTGGTGTAGGCCACAGACGCGCCCTGCCTCTTGAGAAAGTGGGCCGTATGCCGGATTTACGAACGTACAATGAGTGAACAAGGGCGACTCACCTTGGTGATGAGTGCGGCTGTTGCTTTGCCGGGCCTCGTGTTGGGTACGGACGCACCCTGCCTCTTGAGCTGGTCGCTGACATCAGCAGGGTCGAGTTGCAGGAAGGTGTAGAAGTAGTTGAAGAAGGCAATGAGTGCCACGTTGGCGGGGAGGTAGAAGAAACCTGGGGATTAGCGGAACACATGGGGAGAGAGGATGTTGATTGAAGATGCAAGGAGAAAGAAAGGAGAAGGAGCGAGTAAGTGAGTTGCAGGAAGGTGTAGAAGTAGTTGAGAAAGGCGAACAGTGCCACGTTAGCAGGCAGATAGAAGAAACCTGGAGATTAGCGGAACACATGGGGAGAGAGGATGTTGATTGAAGATGCAAGGAGAAAGAAAGGAGAAGGAGCGAGTAAGTGAGTTGCAGGAAGGTGTGGAAGTAGTTGAGAAAGGCGAACAGTGCCACGTTAGCAGGCAGATAGAAGAAACCTGGAGATTAGCGGAACACATGGGGAGAGAGGATGTTGATTGAAGATGCAAGGAGAAAGAAAGGAGAAGGAGCGAGTAAGTGAGTTGCAGGAAGGTGTGGAAGTAGTTGAAGAATGCAATCAGTGCCACGTTGGCGGGGAGGTAGAAGAAACCTGGGGATGAGTGGAGCAGGGAAATCAAAGGGAGTGGAGGAGGGAGAGGGAGCAGGGAGAGGAGTGAGTGAGTTGCAGGAAGGTGTAGAAGTAGTTGAAGAATGCGATGAGTGCCACGTTGGCAGGCGGGTAGAGGAGACCTGGGGATTAGTGGAACACATGGTGGTAAAAAGAGTGAGAGGATGACGGAAAAGCAGAGTGATAAATTTGCAGTAAGGTGTAGAAGTAGTTGAAGAAAGCGATCAGTGCCACGTTGGCAGGCAGATAGATCGGTAAAGCGAGCTATGGAGTAGGGAGCAGGAGCAGTCTGGTTACCCTATTACTGACCTGTGGTTACCATGTAACATACCTCCAGGGTAGAGAGCTGTAGCAGCGGACTGGAAAGCAGCACTTCCGGTAAAGCGAGCGATGGAGTAGGGAGCAGCGAGGAGCGAGGAAGAGAAGATAATTGGCATGACTCCCGTTGAGTTGACCTGCAGAGGGGGGAAGAGGAAGAGACGGGTAGAGGGTAGATGAGAAAGATGTTGATCCGAGAGGGTGGAACATAAGAAAGACAAAGGAGAGAGGAGGAGAAGACGATTGGCATGACTTTCGTTGAGTTGACCTGCGGGGGGGATTAGAGGTTGGATAAGAGAAAAGAGGTGGTTGTGAGAGAGGGGTGGTTGGAGAGAATGGGTAGATGAGAGAGAAAGGAACGGCAGATAATTGAGAAGAGAGGAGTAAACGTGAGGCATGGCTTCTGTTGAGTTGAGTGTGGGGGTTGGTGGGGGGGGGGGGGGGAAGGGTGAGTGAGTGAGGGGTCGATGCAAGAAAAAGAAAGCGGTGTGTTACATTCGCGGGAGAGATGCTACCTTCGAGGGGGAGGTGTTACCTTCCAGGGGGAGGTGCTGCCTTTCAGGGGGAGGTGTAACCTTCCAGAGGGAGGTGCTGCCTTTCAGGGGGAGGTGTTGCCTTTCAGGGGGAGGTGTTACCTTGAATGGCAGGTACGCATTCCGCGTCTTGATGTTGTACCGAGACGCATAGTTGATTGGAATACGCCGCTCTGCCTCCTGCTCGGTGGAAGGGATTAAGTTGTGGTGGTGGTGGGGGTGGTGGGGGTGGTAGGGGGAGTGGGAAGAACGGAGAAAAGAGGACGGGGAATTTGAATTGGTTGTATCGAGACACATAGTTGACGGGAATACGCCGCTCTGCTTCCTGCTTGGAGGGAAAGGGGTAGTGGATAGGGTAGAGGGTGGGAGGGGAAGGGGAGGAGAGGGTAGAAAGAGAGTAGAGGGTGAGATGGTGCATGGGGTTGGTTGTACCGTTATGCGTAGTTGATGGGGATGTGACACTCTGCCTCCTACTCGGAGGGAAGGGGGAAGTTGGAGCTGGTTGTAGCGGCACATAGTTGTTGGGAATGCGACTCCCCGCCTTCTGCTCAGAAGGCTGGCAGGCAGGCCGGCAGAGAGGCATAGAGCAGGAACCCACCTGCACCCATTCACACCCACCTGCACGTAGACAATCCCAAGGACGAGCAGCAGGAAGGAGGCCAGCAGCAGCGCCTCGCCGGTAACGTTCCCCTGCTCAGACGCCTCTGTGATGCAGGTAGGCAGGCAGGAGGAATATAGCACACCCATCCACACCCATCTGTACCGCACCCACCTGCACGTAGACGATGCCGAACACGAGCAGCAGGAAGGACGCGAGCAGCAGCGCCTCTCCGGTCACATTCCCTTGTTCAGAAGCCTCTGTGATCGTCCTCCCAATGGACGCCGGCAGGTAGGAAACGATATTGGTGAAGATGAGCAGAGAGGTGCCGTTGCCGAGCTTGAGATCAGTGATCTTGTCTCCCAGCAGGATGACTGCCACGGATCCCAAAGTGAGGCCCGAGACGGCGGAGACTGCCCAGGCGACCGACGGGTCGTAGGCGTACTGCTGTAGATATGCCACCTGTCCGATAGCCTGGGAGGAGGGCGAGAGGCAGGGAGGAAGGGAGAGCTTGAGGTGGGTGATCCTGTCTCCCAGGAGGATGACTGCCACGGATCCGACAGTCAGGCCTGAGACGGCTGAGACTGCCCAGGCGACCGAGGGGTCGTAGGCGTACTGCTGCAGATATGCCACCTGTCCGATTGCCTGGGAGGAGGGCGAGAGGCAGGGAGGAAGGGAGAGCTTGAGGTGGGTGATCCTGTCTCCCAGGAGGATGACTGCCACGGATCCGACAGTCAGGCCTGAGACGGCTGAGACTGCCCAAGCGACTGATGGGTCGTATGCGTACTGCTGCAGGTAGGCCACTTGGCCGATAGCCTGGGGAGTGGAGGGGGGCAGGGAGAAGGAGAGCTTGAGGTGGGTCGGTGATCTTGTCTCCCCGCAGTGGGGCGACTGAGGGGTCGTATGCGTACAACTGGAGGTAGGCCACTTGGCCTATGGCCTGGGGAGTGGAGGGGGAAGAATAGGGTGGGAAGCGGTGGGGTTGGGTTGAGGAGGGGCGACTGAGTGGTCGTATGCGTACTGCTGGAGGTAGGCCACTTGGCCGATAGCCTGTTGGCAGTGGAGGGGGGCAGGGAGAAGGAGAGCTTGAGGTGGGTCGGTGATCTTGTCTCCCCGCACGATGACTGCTACGGACCCGAGGCGCTCGTAATCTAGTAAAGACAAGAAGAATGTAATGAAATCAGGTAACGTACCTGCAGGGCACCGAACGCCACAGCCATATACTTCATGTACTGCTGCGCTTTCTTCCTCCCCGCCTCCCCCTCCTTCTTCTGCAGATCCCCAATCTTAGGGTACAGCGTCCCCAGCAGCTGGAACACGATCTGAGCGTTGATATACGGCACGATGCCCAGCGAAAACAATCCCAGCCGTCCAATCCCGCCCCCTGAGAGCGTGTCTAGGGTGGCCAGGAATGAGCCCTCCCCCAGTTGCTCCTGGAAGGCGGAGATATCGACGCCCCACAGGGGAATGTAGATTCCCACGCGGGATAGCGCGAGCAGACCCAGGAGCATGAGGAATTTCTTGGGTAAATCGCCCTTGAAAAAGTCGCCGATGTCGATCTTGCTGTCCTCCACTGGAAAGGTGGTGCGGGTCAGGTCAGGGGAGAGGTGGAAACGGGAGGCAGAGGGGGGAGAAAGAGGAGGGAGAACAAGGCAGAGAAAGGCAGAGAGATATAGTGGGAAGGCGGGGAGGAGGGATGAGGGAGAGATTGAAGCAGGGGAGGAAAAAAGGAAGAGGGAATTCGGTTTAGTCTTTTTTTTTTCCCTCGCCCCCCCAAGTCCCCCAAGTCCCCCCCCCCCTCCCCCCCACCCGGGGGGGGATGGAGGGTGGGGGAGAGGGGACAGGGGGGACGGGAGGGTGGGAGGAAAGGAATAACATTCTGATGTATGTATTGAAATAATATCACAATCAAGAATCACGGAATATTCTCTCAAATTCAAGCTAGAATCAGCCAACCAGGCTTTGTGACTGTGACTGTAATGAAGGTGGCTGTAATGAAGGCGACTCGACCCGGGGGTTACTGCAATGAAGGCGACTCGACTCGGGGGTGACTGCAATGAAGGCGACTCGACTCGGGGGTGACTGCAATGAAGGCGACTCGACTCGGGGGTGACTGCAATGAAGGCGACTCGACTCGGGGGTGACTGTAATGAATGCGACTCGACCCGGGATTGACTGTAATGAAGGCGACTCGACTCGCGGTCGGCGTGACTATAACCAAGTTCAGGGCGGCATGGCCAGCCTCCTGTCAAGAGAGCATGCCACGTCAGCACTTGTTGCCACGTCAGCAGGACCTGGGTTGAGGTAGGGCCTGGGTCCGGTTCGGGTATGGGCTGCCTCACGTCTCTGCCCCGGGCCTCACGTCTCTGCCCCGGGCCTCACATCTCTGCCCCGGGCCTCACGTCTCTGCCCCGGGCCTCACATCTCTGCCCCGGGCCTCACATCTCTGCCCCGGGCCTCACGTCTCTGCCCCGGGCCTCACGTCTCTGCCCCGGGCCTCACATCTCTGCCCCGGGCCTCACATCTCTGCCCCGGGCCTCACATCTCTGCCCCGGGCCTCACATCTCTGCCCCGGGCCTCAATACCTACCATAACCAACAAACACCACCTAACATTATCTACCACAGAAACATAACATAATCCTAAACAGCACCTAAGTAAGTTTGATGCATTTTTTGTGAACATTTCTAGACATTACTACGGTACGGGGAATCTTTATCGCACCTGCAATTCGTAGTGGCACCTGTGCAAGGTCCACGGGGGGGAGGGGCGGGAGAGAGAGGAGGACGAGAGGAGAAGAGGAAATGCGGGTCAGGGGAGGTGCTATGAGGGGCAGGGCAGGGGGGTGATGATAGCAGCAAGCACTGCAATAAGAGCCGCAGCATAAGCAAGCAAAGCTCATTCCCCCCCACCTCCATGCGCATTTCCCCCCTGCACCGCACACCACCCCACCCCACCCAACACACTCACCATGTCGTGGCCGGCAGTTGGTGAGCTCGATGGAGGTGGCGACTCCCTCCCCCGCCATCTCCCTGACATGGCGGAACGGACGGCACGAGCAAACGGGGCAAAGCATGGGCAAAGGGGGCAACGCATGAGCAGAGGGGGAAAGGCATGGGCAGGGAGAACGGCATGAGCAGAGGGGGAAAGGCATGGGCAGGGAGAACGGCATGAGCAGAGGGGGAAAGGCATGCGCAAGGCGGGAATGCATGGGAAAGGCGGAAAGGCATGCGCAAGGCGGAAAGGCATGCGCAAGGCGGAAAGGCATGCGCAAGGCGGAAAGGCATGGGGAAGGCGGAAAGGCATGGGGAAGGCGGAAATGCATGGGCAAGGCGGAAAGGCAGGGGAAAGGCGGACATGCATGCGCAAGGCGGAAAGGCATGGGAAAAGGGGGGAACGGCGCGCTGACCTGCTCCGCGTGCAGCATGCTCGCCGGTGCTGTCCGCGCGGCCAGCAGCGCGCGCGGCGCTACCTGGTGAGCGCGGTGGGCGCCGTCACGGCGGGTGGAGCGGCGGCGGGTAGGCGCTGCTACGCTGGAGCCTGTCGTCCCTGCACAGCAAGGGGAGGGAGGGGCAGAGGGAGAGCGGAGGAAGGGACGGAGGGAGAGAGCAACGAGAAACCAAGAAAGGCAAGAGGGGTTGAGGACTGAAGTGAACTGTTTGGAAAGAATGCTCACGTAGGAGAGAAATGGGAAACATAACGGGAATTCCAGGGAGAAAACAGATAAAGAGGACAAAACGAAATAAAGTAATAAAACAGTAGAACAAAACGGATTTTGCATGGCGCATGGCACACATGCAGTCGCATGGCGCACATGCAATCGCGTGCTCATGAAATTTCAGCGTGCGCACATGCAGTGACAGTGCGCACCTGCTGGAGGGAGGAATAAGGGCCCTCCCACAGTGCGGGAGGGATCCGCCGCCTATGTTGAATCCCATGGGGGAAGGAATTCGAAGTCTAACGTGGGGAAGGCATTTAAGACCACTGATCGAGATGGGAGAGAAGGAATGGAGATCGGGAGAGCGGAAAAACGGAGACTAACGTGGGAGACGAAATTAGGAGATGAGCTGCGACCGATATGGGAGAGAATGAGTGGATCGGGAGAGCGGAGCTATGGAAAGTAACGTGGAAAATAATGGAGTTGAGATCGAAATGGGATGGGGATGGGATTGGGAGAGAAGCAAGGAAGGAGGAGTGGAGGAGATCGGGAGAGGAGTTGGAGAGGAGAGCAAGCAAGCAGATTTTGTTGACTCTCGCCACTGTAGCGCGAAATGACCAGCACCCTCGCCTCGGTCACCAAAACAGAAACGAATTGCAACTCTTCATACAAAAAAGGAACACTCCTCACCCTGGAACATGTAAACCTAAAACGAAAATAAGAGTGTACACCTAGAATCCACCTGCCCTGCACCAAAAAAACGATGGTGGGGACCAAATCTCAGAATTCACACACATTGCAAACCAAGTCGCGGAGCACAACACAAGCCTCCAATCCAAATCAAGTCGCTAAACACAAGTCGCGAAACATCCCACCGGTCCAATCAAACAGCACAAGCCATGCCAGCTAGCGCGGTCTGGGAAGTGACAGAAACGAGACTCGGATGATGTACAATCCAATATACAGTCATTGGTGCAGCGCTGGCGCGCTGCGCGATCCGCCTGGTGCCTGCAAACTTACTTTCTTATCAATCTATTCCCATGTACATGGGAATAGATTGATAAGAATGTAAGTTTGCATTTTCCTGGTTTATGTTTTCCTTCACGATGCATGCATTGTTATAAGCAAATATTCCAGAAAACAAGTGGGCTGACCCTGGTGTTGGTTGGTACATCTGCAGCAAAATCTTAGGCTAGCTAGTTCCTAGCTACCTATTTTTTAGCTATCTATTTGCTAGCTACCTAATTCCTGGCTAGTTATAGCCTGGCCTTGCCAATTCCTAGCTAGCCAATTTCTGGCCTGCCAACTCCTTGCTAACTCCTAGCCAATTCCTAGCTTGCTATTTCCTAGCTAGTAGCTAGTTAATTCCTAGCCAGCCAAATCATAGCTGGTAACTAGTTCCTAGCCAGCCACATCCTAGCAAGCTAATCCCTAGCTAGCTGCCGTAATTCCTAGTCAACCAAATCCTAACTACCGTAGCTAATTTGTAGATAGTTTACTACTCCTGGCTAACCTACGAGAAAGGGGCATCTGCGAGGGCGTGTTCCGGCTTCGTCTGTACGCGGTAAACACGATTGGATGTATCAGGGATGTGTCAGGAAGATGCTTCCTTGTGTCACACTCATTGTGGAGTTGATGAAAAGACTGACGTTGCAGATAATGACACCATCTCAAATCGACACGCAACAGGGCCTGGCCTGCAATCGTGCCAACCAAGCGATGGCCCGATACAAACACAGAGACTCAAAAGCTTGAAGCAATCTAATTCAGTAACGCACCACTCCATGCGCTTGACATTGATGTCATTCAACACAGAAACCTTGGTCGTCACGATGCAAGTGTGTAACACTCTATCATGCAGTTGCTTGAACCTAGTTTCACATCAACACGAAGCCACAAGGTACTTTATACGATACCTTGTGCACACCGATGCTGCTCTACTCTAAATATCCAGCCTCAGCATTCACCTAGGAGGCGGAATCCCTCCACCACCCGCACTGATATCATCCAGCTCAATCGTCCTATACTTCTGCGAAACCAGCTCCGCCTGCACCTTCCTGGCTGTATCGGTAGCGCATCCGACTAAAATGAGGATGGACGTTCCAGCAAACCCCCGGAAGGCCGTGAGGTGAGTGATTCCTTCCACAAGAGCCGGCGCTGCTGCCATCGTGCCGAGAAACGCCGACCCGAGCACCGAAATGCGGGTGAGGACCTGGTGTTAAGTAGTTAAAGAAGCAAGAGTAATGGGGAGAAAGGGAGAAGGGGATGGGAGGGGGAAGGAGAAGCCAAAGAGGGAAAGGAAACACGAGTGGGGAAAGGGCTGAGAGGGAGCCGGCCAGGAGTCATCATGGAGTGTTTGCGAGGCCAAACGGAGCTTGGTGATGAGCATGGCTGCTGCCTTGCCAGGCCTGGTGTAGGCCACAGACGCGCCCTGCCTCTTGAGAAAGTGGGCCGTATGCCGGATTTACGAACGTACAATGAGTGAACAAGGGCGACTCACCTTGGTGATGAGTGCGGCTGTTGCTTTGCCGGGCCTCGTGTTGGGTACGGACGCACCCTGCCTCTTGAGCTGGTCGCTGACATCAGCAGGGTCGAGTTGCAGGAAGGTGTAGAAGTAGTTGAAGAAGGCAATGAGTGCCACGTTGGCGGGGAGGTAGAAGAAACCTGGGGATTAGCGGAACACATGGGGAGAGAGGATGTTGATTGAAGATGCAAGGAGAAAGAAAGGAGAAGGAGCGAGTAAGTGAGTTGCAGGAAGGTGTAGAAGTAGTTGAGAAAGGCGAACAGTGCCACGTTAGCAGGCAGATAGAAGAAACCTGGAGATTAGCGGAACACATGGGGAGAGAGGATGTTGATTGAAGATGCAAGGAGAAAGAAAGGAGAAGGAGCGAGTAAGTGAGTTGCAGGAAGGTGTGGAAGTAGTTGAGAAAGGCGAACAGTGCCACGTTAGCAGGCAGATAGAAGAAACCTGGAGATTAGCGGAACACATGGGGAGAGAGGATGTTGATTGAAGATGCAAGGAGAAAGAAAGGAGAAGGAGCGAGTAAGTGAGTTGCAGGAAGGTGTGGAAGTAGTTGAAGAATGCAATCAGTGCCACGTTGGCGGGGAGGTAGAAGAAACCTGGGGATGAGTGGAGCAGGGAAATCAAAGGGAGTGGAGGAGGGAGAGGGAGCAGGGAGAGGAGTGAGTGAGTTGCAGGAAGGTGTAGAAGTAGTTGAAGAATGCGATGAGTGCCACGTTGGCAGGCGGGTAGAGGAGACCTGGGGATTAGTGGAACACATGGTGGTAAAAAGAGTGAGAGGATGACGGAAAAGCAGAGTGATAAATTTGCAGTAAGGTGTAGAAGTAGTTGAAGAAAGCGATCAGTGCCACGTTGGCAGGCAGATAGATCGGTAAAGCGAGCTATGGAGTAGGGAGCAGGAGCAGTCTGGTTACCCTATTACTGACCTGTGGTTACCATGTAACATACCTCCAGGGTAGAGAGCTGTAGCAGCGGACTGGAAAGCAGCACTTCCGGTAAAGCGAGCGATGGAGTAGGGAGCAGCGAGGAGCGAGGAAGAGAAGATAATTGGCATGACTCCCGTTGAGTTGACCTGCAGAGGGGGGAAGAGGAAGAGACGGGTAGAGGGTAGATGAGAAAGATGTTGATCCGAGAGGGTGGAACATAAGAAAGACAAAGGAGAGAGGAGGAGAAGACGATTGGCATGACTTTCGTTGAGTTGACCTGCGGGGGGGATTAGAGGTTGGATAAGAGAAAAGAGGTGGTTGTGAGAGAGGGGTGGTTGGAGAGAATGGGTAGATGAGAGAGAAAGGAACGGCAGATAATTGAGAAGAGAGGAGTAAACGTGAGGCATGGCTTCTGTTGAGTTGAGTGTGGGGGTTGGTGGGGGGGGGGGGGGGGAAGGGTGAGTGAGTGAGGGGTCGATGCAAGAAAAAGAAAGCGGTGTGTTACATTCGCGGGAGAGATGCTACCTTCGAGGGGGAGGTGTTACCTTCCAGGGGGAGGTGCTGCCTTTCAGGGGGAGGTGTAACCTTCCAGAGGGAGGTGCTGCCTTTCAGGGGGAGGTGTTGCCTTTCAGGGGGAGGTGTTACCTTGAATGGCAGGTACGCATTCCGCGTCTTGATGTTGTACCGAGACGCATAGTTGATTGGAATACGCCGCTCTGCCTCCTGCTCGGTGGAAGGGATTAAGTTGTGGTGGTGGTGGGGGTGGTGGGGGTGGTAGGGGGAGTGGGAAGAACGGAGAAAAGAGGACGGGGAATTTGAATTGGTTGTATCGAGACACATAGTTGACGGGAATACGCCGCTCTGCTTCCTGCTTGGAGGGAAAGGGGTAGTGGATAGGGTAGAGGGTGGGAGGGGAAGGGGAGGAGAGGGTAGAAAGAGAGTAGAGGGTGAGATGGTGCATGGGGTTGGTTGTACCGTTATGCGTAGTTGATGGGGATGTGACACTCTGCCTCCTACTCGGAGGGAAGGGGGAAGTTGGAGCTGGTTGTAGCGGCACATAGTTGTTGGGAATGCGACTCCCCGCCTTCTGCTCAGAAGGCTGGCAGGCAGGCCGGCAGAGAGGCATAGAGCAGGAACCCACCTGCACCCATTCACACCCACCTGCACGTAGACAATCCCAAGGACGAGCAGCAGGAAGGAGGCCAGCAGCAGCGCCTCGCCGGTAACGTTCCCCTGCTCAGACGCCTCTGTGATGCAGGTAGGCAGGCAGGAGGAATATAGCACACCCATCCACACCCATCTGTACCGCACCCACCTGCACGTAGACGATGCCGAACACGAGCAGCAGGAAGGACGCGAGCAGCAGCGCCTCTCCGGTCACATTCCCTTGTTCAGAAGCCTCTGTGATCGTCCTCCCAATGGACGCCGGCAGGTAGGAAACGATATTGGTGAAGATGAGCAGAGAGGTGCCGTTGCCGAGCTTGAGATCAGTGATCTTGTCTCCCAGCAGGATGACTGCCACGGATCCCAAAGTGAGGCCCGAGACGGCGGAGACTGCCCAGGCGACCGACGGGTCGTAGGCGTACTGCTGTAGATATGCCACCTGTCCGATAGCCTGGGAGGAGGGCGAGAGGCAGGGAGGAAGGGAGAGCTTGAGGTGGGTGATCCTGTCTCCCAGGAGGATGACTGCCACGGATCCGACAGTCAGGCCTGAGACGGCTGAGACTGCCCAGGCGACCGAGGGGTCGTAGGCGTACTGCTGCAGATATGCCACCTGTCCGATTGCCTGGGAGGAGGGCGAGAGGCAGGGAGGAAGGGAGAGCTTGAGGTGGGTGATCCTGTCTCCCAGGAGGATGACTGCCACGGATCCGACAGTCAGGCCTGAGACGGCTGAGACTGCCCAAGCGACTGATGGGTCGTATGCGTACTGCTGCAGGTAGGCCACTTGGCCGATAGCCTGGGGAGTGGAGGGGGGCAGGGAGAAGGAGAGCTTGAGGTGGGTCGGTGATCTTGTCTCCCCGCAGTGGGGCGACTGAGGGGTCGTATGCGTACAACTGGAGGTAGGCCACTTGGCCTATGGCCTGGGGAGTGGAGGGGGAAGAATAGGGTGGGAAGCGGTGGGGTTGGGTTGAGGAGGGGCGACTGAGTGGTCGTATGCGTACTGCTGGAGGTAGGCCACTTGGCCGATAGCCTGTTGGCAGTGGAGGGGGGCAGGGAGAAGGAGAGCTTGAGGTGGGTCGGTGATCTTGTCTCCCCGCACGATGACTGCTACGGACCCGAGGCGCTCGTAATCTAGTAAAGACAAGAAGAATGTAATGAAATCAGGTAACGTACCTGCAGGGCACCGAACGCCACAGCCATATACTTCATGTACTGCTGCGCTTTCTTCCTCCCCGCCTCCCCCTCCTTCTTCTGCAGATCCCCAATCTTAGGGTACAGCGTCCCCAGCAGCTGGAACACGATCTGAGCGTTGATATACGGCACGATGCCCAGCGAAAACAATCCCAGCCGTCCAATCCCGCCCCCTGAGAGCGTGTCTAGGGTGGCCAGGAATGAGCCCTCCCCCAGTTGCTCCTGGAAGGCGGAGATATCGACGCCCCACAGGGGAATGTAGATTCCCACGCGGGATAGCGCGAGCAGACCCAGGAGCATGAGGAATTTCTTGGGTAAATCGCCCTTGAAAAAGTCGCCGATGTCGATCTTGCTGTCCTCCACTGGAAAGGTGGTGCGGGTCAGGTCAGGGGAGAGGTGGAAACGGGAGGCAGAGGGGGGAGAAAGAGGAGGGAGAACAAGGCAGAGAAAGGCAGAGAGATATAGTGGGAAGGCGGGGAGGAGGGATGAGGGAGAGATTGAAGCAGGGGAGGAAAAAAGGAAGAGGGAATTCGGTTTAGTCTTTTTTTTTTCCCTCGCCCCCCCAAGTCCCCCAAGTCCCCCCCCCCCTCCCCCCCACCCGGGGGGGGATGGAGGGTGGGGGAGAGGGGACAGGGGGGACGGGAGGGTGGGAGGAAAGGAATAACATTCTGATGTATGTATTGAAATAATATCACAATCAAGAATCACGGAATATTCTCTCAAATTCAAGCTAGAATCAGCCAACCAGGCTTTGTGACTGTGACTGTAATGAAGGTGGCTGTAATGAAGGCGACTCGACCCGGGGGTTACTGCAATGAAGGCGACTCGACTCGGGGGTGACTGCAATGAAGGCGACTCGACTCGGGGGTGACTGCAATGAAGGCGACTCGACTCGGGGGTGACTGCAATGAAGGCGACTCGACTCGGGGGTGACTGTAATGAATGCGACTCGACCCGGGATTGACTGTAATGAAGGCGACTCGACTCGCGGTCGGCGTGACTATAACCAAGTTCAGGGCGGCATGGCCAGCCTCCTGTCAAGAGAGCATGCCACGTCAGCACTTGTTGCCACGTCAGCAGGACCTGGGTTGAGGTAGGGCCTGGGTCCGGTTCGGGTATGGGCTGCCTCACGTCTCTGCCCCGGGCCTCACGTCTCTGCCCCGGGCCTCACATCTCTGCCCCGGGCCTCACGTCTCTGCCCCGGGCCTCACATCTCTGCCCCGGGCCTCACATCTCTGCCCCGGGCCTCACGTCTCTGCCCCGGGCCTCACGTCTCTGCCCCGGGCCTCACATCTCTGCCCCGGGCCTCACATCTCTGCCCCGGGCCTCACATCTCTGCCCCGGGCCTCACATCTCTGCCCCGGGCCTCAATACCTACCATAACCAACAAACACCACCTAACATTATCTACCACAGAAACATAACATAATCCTAAACAGCACCTAAGTAAGTTTGATGCATTTTTTGTGAACATTTCTAGACATTACTACGGTACGGGGAATCTTTATCGCACCTGCAATTCGTAGTGGCACCTGTGCAAGGTCCACGGGGGGGAGGGGCGGGAGAGAGAGGAGGACGAGAGGAGAAGAGGAAATGCGGGTCAGGGGAGGTGCTATGAGGGGCAGGGCAGGGGGGTGATGATAGCAGCAAGCACTGCAATAAGAGCCGCAGCATAAGCAAGCAAAGCTCATTCCCCCCCACCTCCATGCGCATTTCCCCCCTGCACCGCACACCACCCCACCCCACCCAACACACTCACCATGTCGTGGCCGGCAGTTGGTGAGCTCGATGGAGGTGGCGACTCCCTCCCCCGCCATCTCCCTGACATGGCGGAACGGACGGCACGAGCAAACGGGGCAAAGCATGGGCAAAGGGGGCAACGCATGAGCAGAGGGGGAAAGGCATGGGCAGGGAGAACGGCATGAGCAGAGGGGGAAAGGCATGGGCAGGGAGAACGGCATGAGCAGAGGGGGAAAGGCATGCGCAAGGCGGGAATGCATGGGAAAGGCGGAAAGGCATGCGCAAGGCGGAAAGGCATGCGCAAGGCGGAAAGGCATGCGCAAGGCGGAAAGGCATGGGGAAGGCGGAAAGGCATGGGGAAGGCGGAAATGCATGGGCAAGGCGGAAAGGCAGGGGAAAGGCGGACATGCATGCGCAAGGCGGAAAGGCATGGGAAAAGGGGGGAACGGCGCGCTGACCTGCTCCGCGTGCAGCATGCTCGCCGGTGCTGTCCGCGCGGCCAGCAGCGCGCGCGGCGCTACCTGGTGAGCGCGGTGGGCGCCGTCACGGCGGGTGGAGCGGCGGCGGGTAGGCGCTGCTACGCTGGAGCCTGTCGTCCCTGCACAGCAAGGGGAGGGAGGGGCAGAGGGAGAGCGGAGGAAGGGACGGAGGGAGAGAGCAACGAGAAACCAAGAAAGGCAAGAGGGGTTGAGGACTGAAGTGAACTGTTTGGAAAGAATGCTCACGTAGGAGAGAAATGGGAAACATAACGGGAATTCCAGGGAGAAAACAGATAAAGAGGACAAAACGAAATAAAGTAATAAAACAGTAGAACAAAACGGATTTTGCATGGCGCATGGCACACATGCAGTCGCATGGCGCACATGCAATCGCGTGCTCATGAAATTTCAGCGTGCGCACATGCAGTGACAGTGCGCACCTGCTGGAGGGAGGAATAAGGGCCCTCCCACAGTGCGGGAGGGATCCGCCGCCTATGTTGAATCCCATGGGGGAAGGAATTCGAAGTCTAACGTGGGGAAGGCATTTAAGACCACTGATCGAGATGGGAGAGAAGGAATGGAGATCGGGAGAGCGGAAAAACGGAGACTAACGTGGGAGACGAAATTAGGAGATGAGCTGCGACCGATATGGGAGAGAATGAGTGGATCGGGAGAGCGGAGCTATGGAAAGTAACGTGGAAAATAATGGAGTTGAGATCGAAATGGGATGGGGATGGGATTGGGAGAGAAGCAAGGAAGGAGGAGTGGAGGAGATCGGGAGAGGAGTTGGAGAGGAGAGCAAGCAAGCAGATTTTGTTGACTCTCGCCACTGTAGCGCGAAATGACCAGCACCCTCGCCTCGGTCACCAAAACAGAAACGAATTGCAACTCTTCATACAAAAAAGGAACACTCCTCACCCTGGAACATGTAAACCTAAAACGAAAATAAGAGTGTACACCTAGAATCCACCTGCCCTGCACCAAAAAAACGATGGTGGGGACCAAATCTCAGAATTCACACACATTGCAAACCAAGTCGCGGAGCACAACACAAGCCTCCAATCCAAATCAAGTCGCTAAACACAAGTCGCGAAACATCCCACCGGTCCAATCAAACAGCACAAGCCATGCCAGCTAGCGCGGTCTGGGAAGTGACAGAAACGAGACTCGGATGATGTACAATCCAATATACAGTCATTGGTGCAGCGCTGGCGCGCTGCGCGATCCGCCTGGTGCCTGCAAACTTACTTTCTTATCAATCTATTCCCATGTACATGGGAATAGATTGATAAGAATGTAAGTTTGCATTTTCCTGGTTTATGTTTTCCTTCACGATGCATGCATTGTTATAAGCAAATATTCCAGAAAACAAGTGGGCTGACCCTGGTGTTGGTTGGTACATCTGCAGCAAAATCTTAGGCTAGCTAGTTCCTAGCTACCTATTTTTTAGCTATCTATTTGCTAGCTACCTAATTCCTGGCTAGTTATAGCCTGGCCTTGCCAATTCCTAGCTAGCCAATTTCTGGCCTGCCAACTCCTTGCTAACTCCTAGCCAATTCCTAGCTTGCTATTTCCTAGCTAGTAGCTAGTTAATTCCTAGCCAGCCAAATCATAGCTGGTAACTAGTTCCTAGCCAGCCACATCCTAGCAAGCTAATCCCTAGCTAGCTGCCGTAATTCCTAGTCAACCAAATCCTAACTACCGTAGCTAATTTGTAGATAGTTTACTACTCCTGGCTAACCTACGAGAAAGGGGCATCTGCGAGGGCGTGTTCCGGCTTCGTCTGTACGCGGTAAACACGATTGGATGTATCAGGGATGTGTCAGGAAGATGCTTCCTTGTGTCACACTCATTGTGGAGTTGATGAAAAGACTGACGTTGCAGATAATGACACCATCTCAAATCGACACGCAACAGGGCCTGGCCTGCAATCGTGCCAACCAAGCGATGGCCCGATACAAACACAGAGACTCAAAAGCTTGAAGCAATCTAATTCAGTAACGCACCACTCCATGCGCTTGACATTGATGTCATTCAACACAGAAACCTTGGTCGTCACGATGCAAGTGTGTAACACTCTATCATGCAGTTGCTTGAACCTAGTTTCACATCAACACGAAGCCACAAGGTACTTTATACGATACCTTGTGCACACCGATGCTGCTCTACTCTAAATATCCAGCCTCAGCATTCACCTAGGAGGCGGAATCCCTCCACCACCCGCACTGATATCATCCAGCTCAATCGTCCTATACTTCTGCGAAACCAGCTCCGCCTGCACCTTCCTGGCTGTATCGGTAGCGCATCCGACTAAAATGAGGATGGACGTTCCAGCAAACCCCCGGAAGGCCGTGAGGTGAGTGATTCCTTCCACAAGAGCCGGCGCTGCTGCCATCGTGCCGAGAAACGCCGACCCGAGCACCGAAATGCGGGTGAGGACCTGGTGTTAAGTAGTTAAAGAAGCAAGAGTAATGGGGAGAAAGGGAGAAGGGGATGGGAGGGGGAAGGAGAAGCCAAAGAGGGAAAGGAAACACGAGTGGGGAAAGGGCTGAGAGGGAGCCGGCCAGGAGTCATCATGGAGTGTTTGCGAGGCCAAACGGAGCTTGGTGATGAGCATGGCTGCTGCCTTGCCAGGCCTGGTGTAGGCCACAGACGCGCCCTGCCTCTTGAGAAAGTGGGCCGTATGCCGGATTTACGAACGTACAATGAGTGAACAAGGGCGACTCACCTTGGTGATGAGTGCGGCTGTTGCTTTGCCGGGCCTCGTGTTGGGTACGGACGCACCCTGCCTCTTGAGCTGGTCGCTGACATCAGCAGGGTCGAGTTGCAGGAAGGTGTAGAAGTAGTTGAAGAAGGCAATGAGTGCCACGTTGGCGGGGAGGTAGAAGAAACCTGGGGATTAGCGGAACACATGGGGAGAGAGGATGTTGATTGAAGATGCAAGGAGAAAGAAAGGAGAAGGAGCGAGTAAGTGAGTTGCAGGAAGGTGTAGAAGTAGTTGAGAAAGGCGAACAGTGCCACGTTAGCAGGCAGATAGAAGAAACCTGGAGATTAGCGGAACACATGGGGAGAGAGGATGTTGATTGAAGATGCAAGGAGAAAGAAAGGAGAAGGAGCGAGTAAGTGAGTTGCAGGAAGGTGTGGAAGTAGTTGAGAAAGGCGAACAGTGCCACGTTAGCAGGCAGATAGAAGAAACCTGGAGATTAGCGGAACACATGGGGAGAGAGGATGTTGATTGAAGATGCAAGGAGAAAGAAAGGAGAAGGAGCGAGTAAGTGAGTTGCAGGAAGGTGTGGAAGTAGTTGAAGAATGCAATCAGTGCCACGTTGGCGGGGAGGTAGAAGAAACCTGGGGATGAGTGGAGCAGGGAAATCAAAGGGAGTGGAGGAGGGAGAGGGAGCAGGGAGAGGAGTGAGTGAGTTGCAGGAAGGTGTAGAAGTAGTTGAAGAATGCGATGAGTGCCACGTTGGCAGGCGGGTAGAGGAGACCTGGGGATTAGTGGAACACATGGTGGTAAAAAGAGTGAGAGGATGACGGAAAAGCAGAGTGATAAATTTGCAGTAAGGTGTAGAAGTAGTTGAAGAAAGCGATCAGTGCCACGTTGGCAGGCAGATAGATCGGTAAAGCGAGCTATGGAGTAGGGAGCAGGAGCAGTCTGGTTACCCTATTACTGACCTGTGGTTACCATGTAACATACCTCCAGGGTAGAGAGCTGTAGCAGCGGACTGGAAAGCAGCACTTCCGGTAAAGCGAGCGATGGAGTAGGGAGCAGCGAGGAGCGAGGAAGAGAAGATAATTGGCATGACTCCCGTTGAGTTGACCTGCAGAGGGGGGAAGAGGAAGAGACGGGTAGAGGGTAGATGAGAAAGATGTTGATCCGAGAGGGTGGAACATAAGAAAGACAAAGGAGAGAGGAGGAGAAGACGATTGGCATGACTTTCGTTGAGTTGACCTGCGGGGGGGATTAGAGGTTGGATAAGAGAAAAGAGGTGGTTGTGAGAGAGGGGTGGTTGGAGAGAATGGGTAGATGAGAGAGAAAGGAACGGCAGATAATTGAGAAGAGAGGAGTAAACGTGAGGCATGGCTTCTGTTGAGTTGAGTGTGGGGGTTGGTGGGGGGGGGGGGGGGAAGGGTGAGTGAGTGAGGGGTCGATGCAAGAAAAAGAAAGCGGTGTGTTACATTCGCGGGAGAGATGCTACCTTCGAGGGGGAGGTGTTACCTTCCAGGGGGAGGTGCTGCCTTTCAGGGGGAGGTGTAACCTTCCAGAGGGAGGTGCTGCCTTTCAGGGGGAGGTGTTGCCTTTCAGGGGGAGGTGTTACCTTGAATGGCAGGTACGCATTCCGCGTCTTGATGTTGTACCGAGACGCATAGTTGATTGGAATACGCCGCTCTGCCTCCTGCTCGGTGGAAGGGATTAAGTTGTGGTGGTGGTGGGGGTGGTGGGGGTGGTAGGGGGAGTGGGAAGAACGGAGAAAAGAGGACGGGGAATTTGAATTGGTTGTATCGAGACACATAGTTGACGGGAATACGCCGCTCTGCTTCCTGCTTGGAGGGAAAGGGGTAGTGGATAGGGTAGAGGGTGGGAGGGGAAGGGGAGGAGAGGGTAGAAAGAGAGTAGAGGGTGAGATGGTGCATGGGGTTGGTTGTACCGTTATGCGTAGTTGATGGGGATGTGACACTCTGCCTCCTACTCGGAGGGAAGGGGGAAGTTGGAGCTGGTTGTAGCGGCACATAGTTGTTGGGAATGCGACTCCCCGCCTTCTGCTCAGAAGGCTGGCAGGCAGGCCGGCAGAGAGGCATAGAGCAGGAACCCACCTGCACCCATTCACACCCACCTGCACGTAGACAATCCCAAGGACGAGCAGCAGGAAGGAGGCCAGCAGCAGCGCCTCGCCGGTAACGTTCCCCTGCTCAGACGCCTCTGTGATGCAGGTAGGCAGGCAGGAGGAATATAGCACACCCATCCACACCCATCTGTACCGCACCCACCTGCACGTAGACGATGCCGAACACGAGCAGCAGGAAGGACGCGAGCAGCAGCGCCTCTCCGGTCACATTCCCTTGTTCAGAAGCCTCTGTGATCGTCCTCCCAATGGACGCCGGCAGGTAGGAAACGATATTGGTGAAGATGAGCAGAGAGGTGCCGTTGCCGAGCTTGAGATCAGTGATCTTGTCTCCCAGCAGGATGACTGCCACGGATCCCAAAGTGAGGCCCGAGACGGCGGAGACTGCCCAGGCGACCGACGGGTCGTAGGCGTACTGCTGTAGATATGCCACCTGTCCGATAGCCTGGGAGGAGGGCGAGAGGCAGGGAGGAAGGGAGAGCTTGAGGTGGGTGATCCTGTCTCCCAGGAGGATGACTGCCACGGATCCGACAGTCAGGCCTGAGACGGCTGAGACTGCCCAGGCGACCGAGGGGTCGTAGGCGTACTGCTGCAGATATGCCACCTGTCCGATTGCCTGGGAGGAGGGCGAGAGGCAGGGAGGAAGGGAGAGCTTGAGGTGGGTGATCCTGTCTCCCAGGAGGATGACTGCCACGGATCCGACAGTCAGGCCTGAGACGGCTGAGACTGCCCAAGCGACTGATGGGTCGTATGCGTACTGCTGCAGGTAGGCCACTTGGCCGATAGCCTGGGGAGTGGAGGGGGGCAGGGAGAAGGAGAGCTTGAGGTGGGTCGGTGATCTTGTCTCCCCGCAGTGGGGCGACTGAGGGGTCGTATGCGTACAACTGGAGGTAGGCCACTTGGCCTATGGCCTGGGGAGTGGAGGGGGAAGAATAGGGTGGGAAGCGGTGGGGTTGGGTTGAGGAGGGGCGACTGAGTGGTCGTATGCGTACTGCTGGAGGTAGGCCACTTGGCCGATAGCCTGTTGGCAGTGGAGGGGGGCAGGGAGAAGGAGAGCTTGAGGTGGGTCGGTGATCTTGTCTCCCCGCACGATGACTGCTACGGACCCGAGGCGCTCGTAATCTAGTAAAGACAAGAAGAATGTAATGAAATCAGGTAACGTACCTGCAGGGCACCGAACGCCACAGCCATATACTTCATGTACTGCTGCGCTTTCTTCCTCCCCGCCTCCCCCTCCTTCTTCTGCAGATCCCCAATCTTAGGGTACAGCGTCCCCAGCAGCTGGAACACGATCTGAGCGTTGATATACGGCACGATGCCCAGCGAAAACAATCCCAGCCGTCCAATCCCGCCCCCTGAGAGCGTGTCTAGGGTGGCCAGGAATGAGCCCTCCCCCAGTTGCTCCTGGAAGGCGGAGATATCGACGCCCCACAGGGGAATGTAGATTCCCACGCGGGATAGCGCGAGCAGACCCAGGAGCATGAGGAATTTCTTGGGTAAATCGCCCTTGAAAAAGTCGCCGATGTCGATCTTGCTGTCCTCCACTGGAAAGGTGGTGCGGGTCAGGTCAGGGGAGAGGTGGAAACGGGAGGCAGAGGGGGGAGAAAGAGGAGGGAGAACAAGGCAGAGAAAGGCAGAGAGATATAGTGGGAAGGCGGGGAGGAGGGATGAGGGAGAGATTGAAGCAGGGGAGGAAAAAAGGAAGAGGGAATTCGGTTTAGTCTTTTTTTTTTTCCCTCGCCCCCCCAAGTCCCCCAAGTCCCCCCCCCCCTCCCCCCCACCCGGGGGGGGATGGAGGGTGGGGGAGAGGGGACAGGGGGGACGGGAGGGTGGGAGGAAAGGAATAACATTCTGATGTATGTATTGAAATAATATCACAATCAAGAATCACGGAATATTCTCTCAAATTCAAGCTAGAATCAGCCAACCAGGCTTTGTGACTGTGACTGTAATGAAGGTGGCTGTAATGAAGGCGACTCGACCCGGGGGTTACTGCAATGAAGGCGACTCGACTCGGGGGTGACTGCAATGAAGGCGACTCGACTCGGGGGTGACTGCAATGAAGGCGACTCGACTCGGGGGTGACTGCAATGAAGGCGACTCGACTCGGGGGTGACTGTAATGAATGCGACTCGACCCGGGATTGACTGTAATGAAGGCGACTCGACTCGCGGTCGGCGTGACTATAACCAAGTTCAGGGCGGCATGGCCAGCCTCCTGTCAAGAGAGCATGCCACGTCAGCACTTGTTGCCACGTCAGCAGGACCTGGGTTGAGGTAGGGCCTGGGTCCGGTTCGGGTATGGGCTGCCTCACGTCTCTGCCCCGGGCCTCACGTCTCTGCCCCGGGCCTCACATCTCTGCCCCGGGCCTCACGTCTCTGCCCCGGGCCTCACATCTCTGCCCCGGGCCTCACATCTCTGCCCCGGGCCTCACGTCTCTGCCCCGGGCCTCACGTCTCTGCCCCGGGCCTCACATCTCTGCCCCGGGCCTCACATCTCTGCCCCGGGCCTCACATCTCTGCCCCGGGCCTCACATCTCTGCCCCGGGCCTCAATACCTACCATAACCAACAAACACCACCTAACATTATCTACCACAGAAACATAACATAATCCTAAACAGCACCTAAGTAAGTTTGATGCATTTTTTGTGAACATTTCTAGACATTACTACGGTACGGGGAATCTTTATCGCACCTGCAATTCGTAGTGGCACCTGTGCAAGGTCCACGGGGGGGAGGGGCGGGAGAGAGAGGAGGACGAGAGGAGAAGAGGAAATGCGGGTCAGGGGAGGTGCTATGAGGGGCAGGGCAGGGGGGTGATGATAGCAGCAAGCACTGCAATAAGAGCCGCAGCATAAGCAAGCAAAGCTCATTCCCCCCCACCTCCATGCGCATTTCCCCCCTGCACCGCACACCACCCCACCCCACCCAACACACTCACCATGTCGTGGCCGGCAGTTGGTGAGCTCGATGGAGGTGGCGACTCCCTCCCCCGCCATCTCCCTGACATGGCGGAACGGACGGCACGAGCAAACGGGGCAAAGCATGGGCAAAGGGGGCAACGCATGAGCAGAGGGGGAAAGGCATGGGCAGGGAGAACGGCATGAGCAGAGGGGGAAAGGCATGGGCAGGGAGAACGGCATGAGCAGAGGGGGAAAGGCATGCGCAAGGCGGGAATGCATGGGAAAGGCGGAAAGGCATGCGCAAGGCGGAAAGGCATGCGCAAGGCGGAAAGGCATGCGCAAGGCGGAAAGGCATGGGGAAGGCGGAAAGGCATGGGGAAGGCGGAAATGCATGGGCAAGGCGGAAAGGCAGGGGAAAGGCGGACATGCATGCGCAAGGCGGAAAGGCATGGGAAAAGGGGGGAACGGCGCGCTGACCTGCTCCGCGTGCAGCATGCTCGCCGGTGCTGTCCGCGCGGCCAGCAGCGCGCGCGGCGCTACCTGGTGAGCGCGGTGGGCGCCGTCACGGCGGGTGGAGCGGCGGCGGGTAGGCGCTGCTACGCTGGAGCCTGTCGTCCCTGCACAGCAAGGGGAGGGAGGGGCAGAGGGAGAGCGGAGGAAGGGACGGAGGGAGAGAGCAACGAGAAACCAAGAAAGGCAAGAGGGGTTGAGGACTGAAGTGAACTGTTTGGAAAGAATGCTCACGTAGGAGAGAAATGGGAAACATAACGGGAATTCCAGGGAGAAAACAGATAAAGAGGACAAAACGAAATAAAGTAATAAAACAGTAGAACAAAACGGATTTTGCATGGCGCATGGCACACATGCAGTCGCATGGCGCACATGCAATCGCGTGCTCATGAAATTTCAGCGTGCGCACATGCAGTGACAGTGCGCACCTGCTGGAGGGAGGAATAAGGGCCCTCCCACAGTGCGGGAGGGATCCGCCGCCTATGTTGAATCCCATGGGGGAAGGAATTCGAAGTCTAACGTGGGGAAGGCATTTAAGACCACTGATCGAGATGGGAGAGAAGGAATGGAGATCGGGAGAGCGGAAAAACGGAGACTAACGTGGGAGACGAAATTAGGAGATGAGCTGCGACCGATATGGGAGAGAATGAGTGGATCGGGAGAGCGGAGCTATGGAAAGTAACGTGGAAAATAATGGAGTTGAGATCGAAATGGGATGGGGATGGGATTGGGAGAGAAGCAAGGAAGGAGGAGTGGAGGAGATCGGGAGAGGAGTTGGAGAGGAGAGCAAGCAAGCAGATTTTGTTGACTCTCGCCACTGTAGCGCGAAATGACCAGCACCCTCGCCTCGGTCACCAAAACAGAAACGAATTGCAACTCTTCATACAAAAAAGGAACACTCCTCACCCTGGAACATGTAAACCTAAAACGAAAATAAGAGTGTACACCTAGAATCCACCTGCCCTGCACCAAAAAAACGATGGTGGGGACCAAATCTCAGAATTCACACACATTGCAAACCAAGTCGCGGAGCACAACACAAGCCTCCAATCCAAATCAAGTCGCTAAACACAAGTCGCGAAACATCCCACCGGTCCAATCAAACAGCACAAGCCATGCCAGCTAGCGCGGTCTGGGAAGTGACAGAAACGAGACTCGGATGATGTACAATCCAATATACAGTCATTGGTGCAGCGCTGGCGCGCTGCGCGATCCGCCTGGTGCCTGCAAACTTACTTTCTTATCAATCTATTCCCATGTACATGGGAATAGATTGATAAGAATGTAAGTTTGCATTTTCCTGGTTTATGTTTTCCTTCACGATGCATGCATTGTTATAAGCAAATATTCCAGAAAACAAGTGGGCTGACCCTGGTGTTGGTTGGTACATCTGCAGCAAAATCTTAGGCTAGCTAGTTCCTAGCTACCTATTTTTTAGCTATCTATTTGCTAGCTACCTAATTCCTGGCTAGTTATAGCCTGGCCTTGCCAATTCCTAGCTAGCCAATTTCTGGCCTGCCAACTCCTTGCTAACTCCTAGCCAATTCCTAGCTTGCTATTTCCTAGCTAGTAGCTAGTTAATTCCTAGCCAGCCAAATCATAGCTGGTAACTAGTTCCTAGCCAGCCACATCCTAGCAAGCTAATCCCTAGCTAGCTGCCGTAATTCCTAGTCAACCAAATCCTAACTACCGTAGCTAATTTGTAGATAGTTTACTACTCCTGGCTAACCTACGAGAAAGGGGCATCTGCGAGGGCGTGTTCCGGCTTCGTCTGTACGCGGTAAACACGATTGGATGTATCAGGGATGTGTCAGGAAGATGCTTCCTTGTGTCACACTCATTGTGGAGTTGATGAAAAGACTGACGTTGCAGATAATGACACCATCTCAAATCGACACGCAACAGGGCCTGGCCTGCAATCGTGCCAACCAAGCGATGGCCCGATACAAACACAGAGACTCAAAAGCTTGAAGCAATCTAATTCAGTAACGCACCACTCCATGCGCTTGACATTGATGTCATTCAACACAGAAACCTTGGTCGTCACGATGCAAGTGTGTAACACTCTATCATGCAGTTGCTTGAACCTAGTTTCACATCAACACGAAGCCACAAGGTACTTTATACGATACCTTGTGCACACCGATGCTGCTCTACTCTAAATATCCAGCCTCAGCATTCACCTAGGAGGCGGAATCCCTCCACCACCCGCACTGATATCATCCAGCTCAATCGTCCTATACTTCTGCGAAACCAGCTCCGCCTGCACCTTCCTGGCTGTATCGGTAGCGCATCCGACTAAAATGAGGATGGACGTTCCAGCAAACCCCCGGAAGGCCGTGAGGTGAGTGATTCCTTCCACAAGAGCCGGCGCTGCTGCCATCGTGCCGAGAAACGCCGACCCGAGCACCGAAATGCGGGTGAGGACCTGGTGTTAAGTAGTTAAAGAAGCAAGAGTAATGGGGAGAAAGGGAGAAGGGGATGGGAGGGGGAAGGAGAAGCCAAAGAGGGAAAGGAAACACGAGTGGGGAAAGGGCTGAGAGGGAGCCGGCCAGGAGTCATCATGGAGTGTTTGCGAGGCCAAACGGAGCTTGGTGATGAGCATGGCTGCTGCCTTGCCAGGCCTGGTGTAGGCCACAGACGCGCCCTGCCTCTTGAGAAAGTGGGCCGTATGCCGGATTTACGAACGTACAATGAGTGAACAAGGGCGACTCACCTTGGTGATGAGTGCGGCTGTTGCTTTGCCGGGCCTCGTGTTGGGTACGGACGCACCCTGCCTCTTGAGCTGGTCGCTGACATCAGCAGGGTCGAGTTGCAGGAAGGTGTAGAAGTAGTTGAAGAAGGCAATGAGTGCCACGTTGGCGGGGAGGTAGAAGAAACCTGGGGATTAGCGGAACACATGGGGAGAGAGGATGTTGATTGAAGATGCAAGGAGAAAGAAAGGAGAAGGAGCGAGTAAGTGAGTTGCAGGAAGGTGTAGAAGTAGTTGAGAAAGGCGAACAGTGCCACGTTAGCAGGCAGATAGAAGAAACCTGGAGATTAGCGGAACACATGGGGAGAGAGGATGTTGATTGAAGATGCAAGGAGAAAGAAAGGAGAAGGAGCGAGTAAGTGAGTTGCAGGAAGGTGTGGAAGTAGTTGAGAAAGGCGAACAGTGCCACGTTAGCAGGCAGATAGAAGAAACCTGGAGATTAGCGGAACACATGGGGAGAGAGGATGTTGATTGAAGATGCAAGGAGAAAGAAAGGAGAAGGAGCGAGTAAGTGAGTTGCAGGAAGGTGTGGAAGTAGTTGAAGAATGCAATCAGTGCCACGTTGGCGGGGAGGTAGAAGAAACCTGGGGATGAGTGGAGCAGGGAAATCAAAGGGAGTGGAGGAGGGAGAGGGAGCAGGGAGAGGAGTGAGTGAGTTGCAGGAAGGTGTAGAAGTAGTTGAAGAATGCGATGAGTGCCACGTTGGCAGGCGGGTAGAGGAGACCTGGGGATTAGTGGAACACATGGTGGTAAAAAGAGTGAGAGGATGACGGAAAAGCAGAGTGATAAATTTGCAGTAAGGTGTAGAAGTAGTTGAAGAAAGCGATCAGTGCCACGTTGGCAGGCAGATAGATCGGTAAAGCGAGCTATGGAGTAGGGAGCAGGAGCAGTCTGGTTACCCTATTACTGACCTGTGGTTACCATGTAACATACCTCCAGGGTAGAGAGCTGTAGCAGCGGACTGGAAAGCAGCACTTCCGGTAAAGCGAGCGATGGAGTAGGGAGCAGCGAGGAGCGAGGAAGAGAAGATAATTGGCATGACTCCCGTTGAGTTGACCTGCAGAGGGGGGAAGAGGAAGAGACGGGTAGAGGGTAGATGAGAAAGATGTTGATCCGAGAGGGTGGAACATAAGAAAGACAAAGGAGAGAGGAGGAGAAGACGATTGGCATGACTTTCGTTGAGTTGACCTGCGGGGGGGATTAGAGGTTGGATAAGAGAAAAGAGGTGGTTGTGAGAGAGGGGTGGTTGGAGAGAATGGGTAGATGAGAGAGAAAGGAACGGCAGATAATTGAGAAGAGAGGAGTAAACGTGAGGCATGGCTTCTGTTGAGTTGAGTGTGGGGGTTGGTGGGGGGGGGGGGGGGAAGGGTGAGTGAGTGAGGGGTCGATGCAAGAAAAAGAAAGCGGTGTGTTACATTCGCGGGAGAGATGCTACCTTCGAGGGGGAGGTGTTACCTTCCAGGGGGAGGTGCTGCCTTTCAGGGGGAGGTGTAACCTTCCAGAGGGAGGTGCTGCCTTTCAGGGGGAGGTGTTGCCTTTCAGGGGGAGGTGTTACCTTGAATGGCAGGTACGCATTCCGCGTCTTGATGTTGTACCGAGACGCATAGTTGATTGGAATACGCCGCTCTGCCTCCTGCTCGGTGGAAGGGATTAAGTTGTGGTGGTGGTGGGGGTGGTGGGGGTGGTAGGGGGAGTGGGAAGAACGGAGAAAAGAGGACGGGGAATTTGAATTGGTTGTATCGAGACACATAGTTGACGGGAATACGCCGCTCTGCTTCCTGCTTGGAGGGAAAGGGGTAGTGGATAGGGTAGAGGGTGGGAGGGGAAGGGGAGGAGAGGGTAGAAAGAGAGTAGAGGGTGAGATGGTGCATGGGGTTGGTTGTACCGTTATGCGTAGTTGATGGGGATGTGACACTCTGCCTCCTACTCGGAGGGAAGGGGGAAGTTGGAGCTGGTTGTAGCGGCACATAGTTGTTGGGAATGCGACTCCCCGCCTTCTGCTCAGAAGGCTGGCAGGCAGGCCGGCAGAGAGGCATAGAGCAGGAACCCACCTGCACCCATTCACACCCACCTGCACGTAGACAATCCCAAGGACGAGCAGCAGGAAGGAGGCCAGCAGCAGCGCCTCGCCGGTAACGTTCCCCTGCTCAGACGCCTCTGTGATGCAGGTAGGCAGGCAGGAGGAATATAGCACACCCATCCACACCCATCTGTACCGCACCCACCTGCACGTAGACGATGCCGAACACGAGCAGCAGGAAGGACGCGAGCAGCAGCGCCTCTCCGGTCACATTCCCTTGTTCAGAAGCCTCTGTGATCGTCCTCCCAATGGACGCCGGCAGGTAGGAAACGATATTGGTGAAGATGAGCAGAGAGGTGCCGTTGCCGAGCTTGAGATCAGTGATCTTGTCTCCCAGCAGGATGACTGCCACGGATCCCAAAGTGAGGCCCGAGACGGCGGAGACTGCCCAGGCGACCGACGGGTCGTAGGCGTACTGCTGTAGATATGCCACCTGTCCGATAGCCTGGGAGGAGGGCGAGAGGCAGGGAGGAAGGGAGAGCTTGAGGTGGGTGATCCTGTCTCCCAGGAGGATGACTGCCACGGATCCGACAGTCAGGCCTGAGACGGCTGAGACTGCCCAGGCGACCGAGGGGTCGTAGGCGTACTGCTGCAGATATGCCACCTGTCCGATTGCCTGGGAGGAGGGCGAGAGGCAGGGAGGAAGGGAGAGCTTGAGGTGGGTGATCCTGTCTCCCAGGAGGATGACTGCCACGGATCCGACAGTCAGGCCTGAGACGGCTGAGACTGCCCAAGCGACTGATGGGTCGTATGCGTACTGCTGCAGGTAGGCCACTTGGCCGATAGCCTGGGGAGTGGAGGGGGGCAGGGAGAAGGAGAGCTTGAGGTGGGTCGGTGATCTTGTCTCCCCGCAGTGGGGCGACTGAGGGGTCGTATGCGTACAACTGGAGGTAGGCCACTTGGCCTATGGCCTGGGGAGTGGAGGGGGAAGAATAGGGTGGGAAGCGGTGGGGTTGGGTTGAGGAGGGGCGACTGAGTGGTCGTATGCGTACTGCTGGAGGTAGGCCACTTGGCCGATAGCCTGTTGGCAGTGGAGGGGGGCAGGGAGAAGGAGAGCTTGAGGTGGGTCGGTGATCTTGTCTCCCCGCACGATGACTGCTACGGACCCGAGGCGCTCGTAATCTAGTAAAGACAAGAAGAATGTAATGAAATCAGGTAACGTACCTGCAGGGCACCGAACGCCACAGCCATATACTTCATGTACTGCTGCGCTTTCTTCCTCCCCGCCTCCCCCTCCTTCTTCTGCAGATCCCCAATCTTAGGGTACAGCGTCCCCAGCAGCTGGAACACGATCTGAGCGTTGATATACGGCACGATGCCCAGCGAAAACAATCCCAGCCGTCCAATCCCGCCCCCTGAGAGCGTGTCTAGGGTGGCCAGGAATGAGCCCTCCCCCAGTTGCTCCTGGAAGGCGGAGATATCGACGCCCCACAGGGGAATGTAGATTCCCACGCGGGATAGCGCGAGCAGACCCAGGAGCATGAGGAATTTCTTGGGTAAATCGCCCTTGAAAAAGTCGCCGATGTCGATCTTGCTGTCCTCCACTGGAAAGGTGGTGCGGGTCAGGTCAGGGGAGAGGTGGAAACGGGAGGCAGAGGGGGGAGAAAGAGGAGGGAGAACAAGGCAGAGAAAGGCAGAGAGATATAGTGGGAAGGCGGGGAGGAGGGATGAGGGAGAGATTGAAGCAGGGGAGGAAAAAAGGAAGAGGGAATTCGGTTTAGTCTTTTTTTTTTCCCTCGCCCCCCCAAGTCCCCCAAGTCCCCCCCCCCCTCCCCCCCACCCGGGGGGGGATGGAGGGTGGGGGAGAGGGGACAGGGGGGACGGGAGGGTGGGAGGAAAGGAATAACATTCTGATGTATGTATTGAAATAATATCACAATCAAGAATCACGGAATATTCTCTCAAATTCAAGCTAGAATCAGCCAACCAGGCTTTGTGACTGTGACTGTAATGAAGGTGGCTGTAATGAAGGCGACTCGACCCGGGGGTTACTGCAATGAAGGCGACTCGACTCGGGGGTGACTGCAATGAAGGCGACTCGACTCGGGGGTGACTGCAATGAAGGCGACTCGACTCGGGGGTGACTGCAATGAAGGCGACTCGACTCGGGGGTGACTGTAATGAATGCGACTCGACCCGGGATTGACTGTAATGAAGGCGACTCGACTCGCGGTCGGCGTGACTATAACCAAGTTCAGGGCGGCATGGCCAGCCTCCTGTCAAGAGAGCATGCCACGTCAGCACTTGTTGCCACGTCAGCAGGACCTGGGTTGAGGTAGGGCCTGGGTCCGGTTCGGGTATGGGCTGCCTCACGTCTCTGCCCCGGGCCTCACGTCTCTGCCCCGGGCCTCACATCTCTGCCCCGGGCCTCACGTCTCTGCCCCGGGCCTCACATCTCTGCCCCGGGCCTCACATCTCTGCCCCGGGCCTCACGTCTCTGCCCCGGGCCTCACGTCTCTGCCCCGGGCCTCACATCTCTGCCCCGGGCCTCACATCTCTGCCCCGGGCCTCACATCTCTGCCCCGGGCCTCACATCTCTGCCCCGGGCCTCAATACCTACCATAACCAACAAACACCACCTAACATTATCTACCACAGAAACATAACATAATCCTAAACAGCACCTAAGTAAGTTTGATGCATTTTTTGTGAACATTTCTAGACATTACTACGGTACGGGGAATCTTTATCGCACCTGCAATTCGTAGTGGCACCTGTGCAAGGTCCACGGGGGGGAGGGGCGGGAGAGAGAGGAGGACGAGAGGAGAAGAGGAAATGCGGGTCAGGGGAGGTGCTATGAGGGGCAGGGCAGGGGGGTGATGATAGCAGCAAGCACTGCAATAAGAGCCGCAGCATAAGCAAGCAAAGCTCATTCCCCCCCACCTCCATGCGCATTTCCCCCCTGCACCGCACACCACCCCACCCCACCCAACACACTCACCATGTCGTGGCCGGCAGTTGGTGAGCTCGATGGAGGTGGCGACTCCCTCCCCCGCCATCTCCCTGACATGGCGGAACGGACGGCACGAGCAAACGGGGCAAAGCATGGGCAAAGGGGGCAACGCATGAGCAGAGGGGGAAAGGCATGGGCAGGGAGAACGGCATGAGCAGAGGGGGAAAGGCATGGGCAGGGAGAACGGCATGAGCAGAGGGGGAAAGGCATGCGCAAGGCGGGAATGCATGGGAAAGGCGGAAAGGCATGCGCAAGGCGGAAAGGCATGCGCAAGGCGGAAAGGCATGCGCAAGGCGGAAAGGCATGGGGAAGGCGGAAAGGCATGGGGAAGGCGGAAATGCATGGGCAAGGCGGAAAGGCAGGGGAAAGGCGGACATGCATGCGCAAGGCGGAAAGGCATGGGAAAAGGGGGGAACGGCGCGCTGACCTGCTCCGCGTGCAGCATGCTCGCCGGTGCTGTCCGCGCGGCCAGCAGCGCGCGCGGCGCTACCTGGTGAGCGCGGTGGGCGCCGTCACGGCGGGTGGAGCGGCGGCGGGTAGGCGCTGCTACGCTGGAGCCTGTCGTCCCTGCACAGCAAGGGGAGGGAGGGGCAGAGGGAGAGCGGAGGAAGGGACGGAGGGAGAGAGCAACGAGAAACCAAGAAAGGCAAGAGGGGTTGAGGACTGAAGTGAACTGTTTGGAAAGAATGCTCACGTAGGAGAGAAATGGGAAACATAACGGGAATTCCAGGGAGAAAACAGATAAAGAGGACAAAACGAAATAAAGTAATAAAACAGTAGAACAAAACGGATTTTGCATGGCGCATGGCACACATGCAGTCGCATGGCGCACATGCAATCGCGTGCTCATGAAATTTCAGCGTGCGCACATGCAGTGACAGTGCGCACCTGCTGGAGGGAGGAATAAGGGCCCTCCCACAGTGCGGGAGGGATCCGCCGCCTATGTTGAATCCCATGGGGGAAGGAATTCGAAGTCTAACGTGGGGAAGGCATTTAAGACCACTGATCGAGATGGGAGAGAAGGAATGGAGATCGGGAGAGCGGAAAAACGGAGACTAACGTGGGAGACGAAATTAGGAGATGAGCTGCGACCGATATGGGAGAGAATGAGTGGATCGGGAGAGCGGAGCTATGGAAAGTAACGTGGAAAATAATGGAGTTGAGATCGAAATGGGATGGGGATGGGATTGGGAGAGAAGCAAGGAAGGAGGAGTGGAGGAGATCGGGAGAGGAGTTGGAGAGGAGAGCAAGCAAGCAGATTTTGTTGACTCTCGCCACTGTAGCGCGAAATGACCAGCACCCTCGCCTCGGTCACCAAAACAGAAACGAATTGCAACTCTTCATACAAAAAAGGAACACTCCTCACCCTGGAACATGTAAACCTAAAACGAAAATAAGAGTGTACACCTAGAATCCACCTGCCCTGCACCAAAAAAACGATGGTGGGGACCAAATCTCAGAATTCACACACATTGCAAACCAAGTCGCGGAGCACAACACAAGCCTCCAATCCAAATCAAGTCGCTAAACACAAGTCGCGAAACATCCCACCGGTCCAATCAAACAGCACAAGCCATGCCAGCTAGCGCGGTCTGGGAAGTGACAGAAACGAGACTCGGATGATGTACAATCCAATATACAGTCATTGGTGCAGCGCTGGCGCGCTGCGCGATCCGCCTGGTGCCTGCAAACTTACTTTCTTATCAATCTATTCCCATGTACATGGGAATAGATTGATAAGAATGTAAGTTTGCATTTTCCTGGTTTATGTTTTCCTTCACGATGCATGCATTGTTATAAGCAAATATTCCAGAAAACAAGTGGGCTGACCCTGGTGTTGGTTGGTACATCTGCAGCAAAATCTTAGGCTAGCTAGTTCCTAGCTACCTATTTTTTAGCTATCTATTTGCTAGCTACCTAATTCCTGGCTAGTTATAGCCTGGCCTTGCCAATTCCTAGCTAGCCAATTTCTGGCCTGCCAACTCCTTGCTAACTCCTAGCCAATTCCTAGCTTGCTATTTCCTAGCTAGTAGCTAGTTAATTCCTAGCCAGCCAAATCATAGCTGGTAACTAGTTCCTAGCCAGCCACATCCTAGCAAGCTAATCCCTAGCTAGCTGCCGTAATTCCTAGTCAACCAAATCCTAACTACCGTAGCTAATTTGTAGATAGTTTACTACTCCTGGCTAACCTACGAGAAAGGGGCATCTGCGAGGGCGTGTTCCGGCTTCGTCTGTACGCGGTAAACACGATTGGATGTATCAGGGATGTGTCAGGAAGATGCTTCCTTGTGTCACACTCATTGTGGAGTTGATGAAAAGACTGACGTTGCAGATAATGACACCATCTCAAATCGACACGCAACAGGGCCTGGCCTGCAATCGTGCCAACCAAGCGATGGCCCGATACAAACACAGAGACTCAAAAGCTTGAAGCAATCTAATTCAGTAACGCACCACTCCATGCGCTTGACATTGATGTCATTCAACACAGAAACCTTGGTCGTCACGATGCAAGTGTGTAACACTCTATCATGCAGTTGCTTGAACCTAGTTTCACATCAACACGAAGCCACAAGGTACTTTATACGATACCTTGTGCACACCGATGCTGCTCTACTCTAAATATCCAGCCTCAGCATTCACCTAGGAGGCGGAATCCCTCCACCACCCGCACTGATATCATCCAGCTCAATCGTCCTATACTTCTGCGAAACCAGCTCCGCCTGCACCTTCCTGGCTGTATCGGTAGCGCATCCGACTAAAATGAGGATGGACGTTCCAGCAAACCCCCGGAAGGCCGTGAGGTGAGTGATTCCTTCCACAAGAGCCGGCGCTGCTGCCATCGTGCCGAGAAACGCCGACCCGAGCACCGAAATGCGGGTGAGGACCTGGTGTTAAGTAGTTAAAGAAGCAAGAGTAATGGGGAGAAAGGGAGAAGGGGATGGGAGGGGGAAGGAGAAGCCAAAGAGGGAAAGGAAACACGAGTGGGGAAAGGGCTGAGAGGGAGCCGGCCAGGAGTCATCATGGAGTGTTTGCGAGGCCAAACGGAGCTTGGTGATGAGCATGGCTGCTGCCTTGCCAGGCCTGGTGTAGGCCACAGACGCGCCCTGCCTCTTGAGAAAGTGGGCCGTATGCCGGATTTACGAACGTACAATGAGTGAACAAGGGCGACTCACCTTGGTGATGAGTGCGGCTGTTGCTTTGCCGGGCCTCGTGTTGGGTACGGACGCACCCTGCCTCTTGAGCTGGTCGCTGACATCAGCAGGGTCGAGTTGCAGGAAGGTGTAGAAGTAGTTGAAGAAGGCAATGAGTGCCACGTTGGCGGGGAGGTAGAAGAAACCTGGGGATTAGCGGAACACATGGGGAGAGAGGATGTTGATTGAAGATGCAAGGAGAAAGAAAGGAGAAGGAGCGAGTAAGTGAGTTGCAGGAAGGTGTAGAAGTAGTTGAGAAAGGCGAACAGTGCCACGTTAGCAGGCAGATAGAAGAAACCTGGAGATTAGCGGAACACATGGGGAGAGAGGATGTTGATTGAAGATGCAAGGAGAAAGAAAGGAGAAGGAGCGAGTAAGTGAGTTGCAGGAAGGTGTGGAAGTAGTTGAGAAAGGCGAACAGTGCCACGTTAGCAGGCAGATAGAAGAAACCTGGAGATTAGCGGAACACATGGGGAGAGAGGATGTTGATTGAAGATGCAAGGAGAAAGAAAGGAGAAGGAGCGAGTAAGTGAGTTGCAGGAAGGTGTGGAAGTAGTTGAAGAATGCAATCAGTGCCACGTTGGCGGGGAGGTAGAAGAAACCTGGGGATGAGTGGAGCAGGGAAATCAAAGGGAGTGGAGGAGGGAGAGGGAGCAGGGAGAGGAGTGAGTGAGTTGCAGGAAGGTGTAGAAGTAGTTGAAGAATGCGATGAGTGCCACGTTGGCAGGCGGGTAGAGGAGACCTGGGGATTAGTGGAACACATGGTGGTAAAAAGAGTGAGAGGATGACGGAAAAGCAGAGTGATAAATTTGCAGTAAGGTGTAGAAGTAGTTGAAGAAAGCGATCAGTGCCACGTTGGCAGGCAGATAGATCGGTAAAGCGAGCTATGGAGTAGGGAGCAGGAGCAGTCTGGTTACCCTATTACTGACCTGTGGTTACCATGTAACATACCTCCAGGGTAGAGAGCTGTAGCAGCGGACTGGAAAGCAGCACTTCCGGTAAAGCGAGCGATGGAGTAGGGAGCAGCGAGGAGCGAGGAAGAGAAGATAATTGGCATGACTCCCGTTGAGTTGACCTGCAGAGGGGGGAAGAGGAAGAGACGGGTAGAGGGTAGATGAGAAAGATGTTGATCCGAGAGGGTGGAACATAAGAAAGACGAAGGAGAGAGGAGGAGAAGACGATTGGCATGACTTTCGTTGAGTTGACCTGCGGGGGGGATTAGAGGTTGGATAAGAGAAAAGAGGTGGTTGTGAGAGAGGGGTGGTTGGAGAGAATGGGTAGATGAGAGAGAAAGGAACGGCAGATAATTGAGAAGAGAGGAGTAAACGTGAGGCATGGCTTCTGTTGAGTTGAGTGTGGGGGTTGGTGGGGGGGGGGGGGGGAAGGGTGAGTGAGTGAGGGGTCGATGCAAGAAAAAGAAAGCGGTGTGTTACATTCGCGGGAGAGATGCTACCTTCGAGGGGGAGGTGTTACCTTCCAGGGGGAGGTGCTGCCTTTCAGGGGGAGGTGTAACCTTCCAGAGGGAGGTGCTGCCTTTCAGGGGGAGGTGTTGCCTTTCAGGGGGAGGTGTTACCTTGAATGGCAGGTACGCATTCCGCGTCTTGATGTTGTACCGAGACGCATAGTTGATTGGAATACGCCGCTCTGCCTCCTGCTCGGTGGAAGGGATTAAGTTGTGGTGGTGGTGGGGGTGGTGGGGGTGGTAGGGGGAGTGGGAAGAACGGAGAAAAGAGGACGGGGAATTTGAATTGGTTGTATCGAGACACATAGTTGACGGGAATACGCCGCTCTGCTTCCTGCTTGGAGGGAAAGGGGTAGTGGATAGGGTAGAGGGTGGGAGGGGAAGGGGAGGAGAGGGTAGAAAGAGAGTAGAGGGTGAGATGGTGCATGGGGTTGGTTGTACCGTTATGCGTAGTTGATGGGGATGTGACACTCTGCCTCCTACTCGGAGGGAAGGGGGAAGTTGGAGCTGGTTGTAGCGGCACATAGTTGTTGGGAATGCGACTCCCCGCCTTCTGCTCAGAAGGCTGGCAGGCAGGCCGGCAGAGAGGCATAGAGCAGGAACCCACCTGCACCCATTCACACCCACCTGCACGTAGACAATCCCAAGGACGAGCAGCAGGAAGGAGGCCAGCAGCAGCGCCTCGCCGGTAACGTTCCCCTGCTCAGACGCCTCTGTGATGCAGGTAGGCAGGCAGGAGGAATATAGCACACCCATCCACACCCATCTGTACCGCACCCACCTGCACGTAGACGATGCCGAACACGAGCAGCAGGAAGGACGCGAGCAGCAGCGCCTCTCCGGTCACATTCCCTTGTTCAGAAGCCTCTGTGATCGTCCTCCCAATGGACGCCGGCAGGTAGGAAACGATATTGGTGAAGATGAGCAGAGAGGTGCCGTTGCCGAGCTTGAGATCAGTGATCTTGTCTCCCAGCAGGATGACTGCCACGGATCCCAAAGTGAGGCCCGAGACGGCGGAGACTGCCCAGGCGACCGACGGGTCGTAGGCGTACTGCTGTAGATATGCCACCTGTCCGATAGCCTGGGAGGAGGGCGAGAGGCAGGGAGGAAGGGAGAGCTTGAGGTGGGTGATCCTGTCTCCCAGGAGGATGACTGCCACGGATCCGACAGTCAGGCCTGAGACGGCTGAGACTGCCCAGGCGACCGAGGGGTCGTAGGCGTACTGCTGCAGATATGCCACCTGTCCGATTGCCTGGGAGGAGGGCGAGAGGCAGGGAGGAAGGGAGAGCTTGAGGTGGGTGATCCTGTCTCCCAGGAGGATGACTGCCACGGATCCGACAGTCAGGCCTGAGACGGCTGAGACTGCCCAAGCGACTGATGGGTCGTATGCGTACTGCTGCAGGTAGGCCACTTGGCCGATAGCCTGGGGAGTGGAGGGGGGCAGGGAGAAGGAGAGCTTGAGGTGGGTCGGTGATCTTGTCTCCCCGCAGTGGGGCGACTGAGGGGTCGTATGCGTACAACTGGAGGTAGGCCACTTGGCCTATGGCCTGGGGAGTGGAGGGGGAAGAATAGGGTGGGAAGCGGTGGGGTTGGGTTGAGGAGGGGCGACTGAGTGGTCGTATGCGTACTGCTGGAGGTAGGCCACTTGGCCGATAGCCTGTTGGCAGTGGAGGGGGGCAGGGAGAAGGAGAGCTTGAGGTGGGTCGGTGATCTTGTCTCCCCGCACGATGACTGCTACGGACCCGAGGCGCTCGTAATCTAGTAAAGACAAGAAGAATGTAATGAAATCAGGTAACGTACCTGCAGGGCACCGAACGCCACAGCCATATACTTCATGTACTGCTGCGCTTTCTTCCTCCCCGCCTCCCCCTCCTTCTTCTGCAGATCCCCAATCTTAGGGTACAGCGTCCCCAGCAGCTGGAACACGATCTGAGCGTTGATATACGGCACGATGCCCAGCGAAAACAATCCCAGCCGTCCAATCCCGCCCCCTGAGAGCGTGTCTAGGGTGGCCAGGAATGAGCCCTCCCCCAGTTGCTCCTGGAAGGCGGAGATATCGACGCCCCACAGGGGAATGTAGATTCCCACGCGGGATAGCGCGAGCAGACCCAGGAGCATGAGGAATTTCTTGGGTAAATCGCCCTTGAAAAAGTCGCCGATGTCGATCTTGCTGTCCTCCACTGGAAAGGTGGTGCGGGTCAGGTCAGGGGAGAGGTGGAAACGGGAGGCAGAGGGGGGAGAAAGAGGAGGGAGAACAAGGCAGAGAAAGGCAGAGAGATATAGTGGGAAGGCGGGGAGGAGGGATGAGGGAGAGATTGAAGCAGGGGAGGAAAAAAGGAAGAGGGAATTCGGTTTAGTCTTTTTTTTTTTCCCTCGCCCCCCCAAGTCCCCCAAGTCCCCCCCCCCCTCCCCCCCACCCGGGGGGGGATGGAGGGTGGGGGAGAGGGGACAGGGGGGACGGGAGGGTGGGAGGAAAGGAATAACATTCTGATGTATGTATTGAAATAATATCACAATCAAGAATCACGGAATATTCTCTCAAATTCAAGCTAGAATCAGCCAACCAGGCTTTGTGACTGTGACTGTAATGAAGGTGGCTGTAATGAAGGCGACTCGACCCGGGGGTTACTGCAATGAAGGCGACTCGACTCGGGGGTGACTGCAATGAAGGCGACTCGACTCGGGGGTGACTGCAATGAAGGCGACTCGACTCGGGGGTGACTGCAATGAAGGCGACTCGACTCGGGGGTGACTGTAATGAATGCGACTCGACCCGGGATTGACTGTAATGAAGGCGACTCGACTCGCGGTCGGCGTGACTATAACCAAGTTCAGGGCGGCATGGCCAGCCTCCTGTCAAGAGAGCATGCCACGTCAGCACTTGTTGCCACGTCAGCAGGACCTGGGTTGAGGTAGGGCCTGGGTCCGGTTCGGGTATGGGCTGCCTCACGTCTCTGCCCCGGGCCTCACGTCTCTGCCCCGGGCCTCACATCTCTGCCCCGGGCCTCACGTCTCTGCCCCGGGCCTCACATCTCTGCCCCGGGCCTCACATCTCTGCCCCGGGCCTCACGTCTCTGCCCCGGGCCTCACATCTCTGCCCCGGGCCTCACATCTCTGCCCCGGGCCTCACATCTCTGCCCCGGGCCTCACATCTCTGCCCCGGGCCTCAATACCTACCATAACCAACAAACACCACCTAACATTATCTACCACAGAAACATAACATAATCCTAAACAGCACCTAAGTAAGTTTGATGCATTTTTTGTGAACATTTCTAGACATTACTACGGTACGGGGAATCTTTATCGCACCTGCAATTCGTAGTGGCACCTGTGCAAGGTCCACGGGGGGGAGGGGCGGGAGAGAGAGGAGGACGAGAGGAGAAGAGGAAATGCGGGTCAGGGGAGGTGCTATGAGGGGCAGGGCAGGGGGGTGATGATAGCAGCAAGCACTGCAATAAGAGCCGCAGCATAAGCAAGCAAAGCTCATTCCCCCCCACCTCCATGCGCATTTCCCCCCTGCACCGCACACCACCCCACCCCACCCAACACACTCACCATGTCGTGGCCGGCAGTTGGTGAGCTCGATGGAGGTGGCGACTCCCTCCCCCGCCATCTCCCTGACATGGCGGAACGGACGGCACGAGCAAACGGGGCAAAGCATGGGCAAAGGGGGCAACGCATGAGCAGAGGGGGAAAGGCATGGGCAGGGAGAACGGCATGAGCAGAGGGGGAAAGGCATGGGCAGGGAGAACGGCATGAGCAGAGGGGGAAAGGCATGCGCAAGGCGGGAATGCATGGGAAAGGCGGAAAGGCATGCGCAAGGCGGAAAGGCATGCGCAAGGCGGAAAGGCATGCGCAAGGCGGAAAGGCATGGGGAAGGCGGAAAGGCATGGGGAAGGCGGAAATGCATGGGCAAGGCGGAAAGGCAGGGGAAAGGCGGACATGCATGCGCAAGGCGGAAAGGCATGGGAAAAGGGGGGAACGGCGCGCTGACCTGCTCCGCGTGCAGCATGCTCGCCGGTGCTGTCCGCGCGGCCAGCAGCGCGCGCGGCGCTACCTGGTGAGCGCGGTGGGCGCCGTCACGGCGGGTGGAGCGGCGGCGGGTAGGCGCTGCTACGCTGGAGCCTGTCGTCCCTGCACAGCAAGGGGAGGGAGGGGCAGAGGGAGAGCGGAGGAAGGGACGGAGGGAGAGAGCAACGAGAAACCAAGAAAGGCAAGAGGGGTTGAGGACTGAAGTGAACTGTTTGGAAAGAATGCTCACGTAGGAGAGAAATGGGAAACATAACGGGAATTCCAGGGAGAAAACAGATAAAGAGGACAAAACGAAATAAAGTAATAAAACAGTAGAACAAAACGGATTTTGCATGGCGCATGGCACACATGCAGTCGCATGGCGCACATGCAATCGCGTGCTCATGAAATTTCAGCGTGCGCACATGCAGTGACAGTGCGCACCTGCTGGAGGGAGGAATAAGGGCCCTCCCACAGTGCGGGAGGGATCCGCCGCCTATGTTGAATCCCATGGGGGAAGGAATTCGAAGTCTAACGTGGGGAAGGCATTTAAGACCACTGATCGAGATGGGAGAGAAGGAATGGAGATCGGGAGAGCGGAAAAACGGAGACTAACGTGGGAGACGAAATTAGGAGATGAGCTGCGACCGATATGGGAGAGAATGAGTGGATCGGGAGAGCGGAGCTATGGAAAGTAACGTGGAAAATAATGGAGTTGAGATCGAAATGGGATGGGGATGGGATTGGGAGAGAAGCAAGGAAGGAGGAGTGGAGGAGATCGGGAGAGGAGTTGGAGAGGAGAGCAAGCAAGCAGATTTTGTTGACTCTCGCCACTGTAGCGCGAAATGACCAGCACCCTCGCCTCGGTCACCAAAACAGAAACGAATTGCAACTCTTCATACAAAAAAGGAACACTCCTCACCCTGGAACATGTAAACCTAAAACGAAAATAAGAGTGTACACCTAGAATCCACCTGCCCTGCACCAAAAAAACGATGGTGGGGACCAAATCTCAGAATTCACACACATTGCAAACCAAGTCGCGGAGCACAACACAAGCCTCCAATCCAAATCAAGTCGCTAAACACAAGTCGCGAAACATCCCACCGGTCCAATCAAACAGCACAAGCCATGCCAGCTAGCGCGGTCTGGGAAGTGACAGAAACGAGACTCGGATGATGTACAATCCAATATACAGTCATTGGTGCAGCGCTGGCGCGCTGCGCGATCCGCCTGGTGCCTGCAAACTTACTTTCTTATCAATCTATTCCCATGTACATGGGAATAGATTGATAAGAATGTAAGTTTGCATTTTCCTGGTTTATGTTTTCCTTCACGATGCATGCATTGTTATAAGCAAATATTCCAGAAAACAAGTGGGCTGACCCTGGTGTTGGTTGGTACATCTGCAGCAAAATCTTAGGCTAGCTAGTTCCTAGCTACCTATTTTTTAGCTATCTATTTGCTAGCTACCTAATTCCTGGCTAGTTATAGCCTGGCCTTGCCAATTCCTAGCTAGCCAATTTCTGGCCTGCCAACTCCTTGCTAACTCCTAGCCAATTCCTAGCTTGCTATTTCCTAGCTAGTAGCTAGTTAATTCCTAGCCAGCCAAATCATAGCTGGTAACTAGTTCCTAGCCAGCCACATCCTAGCAAGCTAATCCCTAGCTAGCTGCCGTAATTCCTAGTCAACCAAATCCTAACTACCGTAGCTAATTTGTAGATAGTTTACTACTCCTGGCTAACCTACGAGAAAGGGGCATCTGCGAGGGCGTGTTCCGGCTTCGTCTGTACGCGGTAAACACGATTGGATGTATCAGGGATGTGTCAGGAAGATGCTTCCTTGTGTCACACTCATTGTGGAGTTGATGAAAAGACTGACGTTGCAGATAATGACACCATCTCAAATCGACACGCAACAGGGCCTGGCCTGCAATCGTGCCAACCAAGCGATGGCCCGATACAAACACAGAGACTCAAAAGCTTGAAGCAATCTAATTCAGTAACGCACCACTCCATGCGCTTGACATTGATGTCATTCAACACAGAAACCTTGGTCGTCACGATGCAAGTGTGTAACACTCTATCATGCAGTTGCTTGAACCTAGTTTCACATCAACACGAAGCCACAAGGTACTTTATACGATACCTTGTGCACACCGATGCTGCTCTACTCTAAATATCCAGCCTCAGCATTCACCTAGGAGGCGGAATCCCTCCACCACCCGCACTGATATCATCCAGCTCAATCGTCCTATACTTCTGCGAAACCAGCTCCGCCTGCACCTTCCTGGCTGTATCGGTAGCGCATCCGACTAAAATGAGGATGGACGTTCCAGCAAACCCCCGGAAGGCCGTGAGGTGAGTGATTCCTTCCACAAGAGCCGGCGCTGCTGCCATCGTGCCGAGAAACGCCGACCCGAGCACCGAAATGCGGGTGAGGACCTGGTGTTAAGTAGTTAAAGAAGCAAGAGTAATGGGGAGAAAGGGAGAAGGGGATGGGAGGGGGAAGGAGAAGCCAAAGAGGGAAAGGAAACACGAGTGGGGAAAGGGCTGAGAGGGAGCCGGCCAGGAGTCATCATGGAGTGTTTGCGAGGCCAAACGGAGCTTGGTGATGAGCATGGCTGCTGCCTTGCCAGGCCTGGTGTAGGCCACAGACGCGCCCTGCCTCTTGAGAAAGTGGGCCGTATGCCGGATTTACGAACGTACAATGAGTGAACAAGGGCGACTCACCTTGGTGATGAGTGCGGCTGTTGCTTTGCCGGGCCTCGTGTTGGGTACGGACGCACCCTGCCTCTTGAGCTGGTCGCTGACATCAGCAGGGTCGAGTTGCAGGAAGGTGTAGAAGTAGTTGAAGAAGGCAATGAGTGCCACGTTGGCGGGGAGGTAGAAGAAACCTGGGGATTAGCGGAACACATGGGGAGAGAGGATGTTGATTGAAGATGCAAGGAGAAAGAAAGGAGAAGGAGCGAGTAAGTGAGTTGCAGGAAGGTGTAGAAGTAGTTGAGAAAGGCGAACAGTGCCACGTTAGCAGGCAGATAGAAGAAACCTGGAGATTAGCGGAACACATGGGGAGAGAGGATGTTGATTGAAGATGCAAGGAGAAAGAAAGGAGAAGGAGCGAGTAAGTGAGTTGCAGGAAGGTGTGGAAGTAGTTGAGAAAGGCGAACAGTGCCACGTTAGCAGGCAGATAGAAGAAACCTGGAGATTAGCGGAACACATGGGGAGAGAGGATGTTGATTGAAGATGCAAGGAGAAAGAAAGGAGAAGGAGCGAGTAAGTGAGTTGCAGGAAGGTGTGGAAGTAGTTGAAGAATGCAATCAGTGCCACGTTGGCGGGGAGGTAGAAGAAACCTGGGGATGAGTGGAGCAGGGAAATCAAAGGGAGTGGAGGAGGGAGAGGGAGCAGGGAGAGGAGTGAGTGAGTTGCAGGAAGGTGTAGAAGTAGTTGAAGAATGCGATGAGTGCCACGTTGGCAGGCGGGTAGAGGAGACCTGGGGATTAGTGGAACACATGGTGGTAAAAAGAGTGAGAGGATGACGGAAAAGCAGAGTGATAAATTTGCAGTAAGGTGTAGAAGTAGTTGAAGAAAGCGATCAGTGCCACGTTGGCAGGCAGATAGATCGGTAAAGCGAGCTATGGAGTAGGGAGCAGGAGCAGTCTGGTTACCCTATTACTGACCTGTGGTTACCATGTAACATACCTCCAGGGTAGAGAGCTGTAGCAGCGGACTGGAAAGCAGCACTTCCGGTAAAGCGAGCGATGGAGTAGGGAGCAGCGAGGAGCGAGGAAGAGAAGATAATTGGCATGACTCCCGTTGAGTTGACCTGCAGAGGGGGGAAGAGGAAGAGACGGGTAGAGGGTAGATGAGAAAGATGTTGATCCGAGAGGGTGGAACATAAGAAAGACAAAGGAGAGAGGAGGAGAAGACGATTGGCATGACTTTCGTTGAGTTGACCTGCGGGGGGGATTAGAGGTTGGATAAGAGAAAAGAGGTGGTTGTGAGAGAGGGGTGGTTGGAGAGAATGGGTAGATGAGAGAGAAAGGAACGGCAGATAATTGAGAAGAGAGGAGTAAACGTGAGGCATGGCTTCTGTTGAGTTGAGTGTGGGGGTTGGTGGGGGGGGGGGGGGGAAGGGTGAGTGAGTGAGGGGTCGATGCAAGAAAAAGAAAGCGGTGTGTTACATTCGCGGGAGAGATGCTACCTTCGAGGGGGAGGTGTTACCTTCCAGGGGGAGGTGCTGCCTTTCAGGGGGAGGTGTAACCTTCCAGAGGGAGGTGCTGCCTTTCAGGGGGAGGTGTTGCCTTTCAGGGGGAGGTGTTACCTTGAATGGCAGGTACGCATTCCGCGTCTTGATGTTGTACCGAGACGCATAGTTGATTGGAATACGCCGCTCTGCCTCCTGCTCGGTGGAAGGGATTAAGTTGTGGTGGTGGTGGGGGTGGTGGGGGTGGTAGGGGGAGTGGGAAGAACGGAGAAAAGAGGACGGGGAATTTGAATTGGTTGTATCGAGACACATAGTTGACGGGAATACGCCGCTCTGCTTCCTGCTTGGAGGGAAAGGGGTAGTGGATAGGGTAGAGGGTGGGAGGGGAAGGGGAGGAGAGGGTAGAAAGAGAGTAGAGGGTGAGATGGTGCATGGGGTTGGTTGTACCGTTATGCGTAGTTGATGGGGATGTGACACTCTGCCTCCTACTCGGAGGGAAGGGGGAAGTTGGAGCTGGTTGTAGCGGCACATAGTTGTTGGGAATGCGACTCCCCGCCTTCTGCTCAGAAGGCTGGCAGGCAGGCCGGCAGAGAGGCATAGAGCAGGAACCCACCTGCACCCATTCACACCCACCTGCACGTAGACAATCCCAAGGACGAGCAGCAGGAAGGAGGCCAGCAGCAGCGCCTCGCCGGTAACGTTCCCCTGCTCAGACGCCTCTGTGATGCAGGTAGGCAGGCAGGAGGAATATAGCACACCCATCCACACCCATCTGTACCGCACCCACCTGCACGTAGACGATGCCGAACACGAGCAGCAGGAAGGACGCGAGCAGCAGCGCCTCTCCGGTCACATTCCCTTGTTCAGAAGCCTCTGTGATCGTCCTCCCAATGGACGCCGGCAGGTAGGAAACGATATTGGTGAAGATGAGCAGAGAGGTGCCGTTGCCGAGCTTGAGATCAGTGATCTTGTCTCCCAGCAGGATGACTGCCACGGATCCCAAAGTGAGGCCCGAGACGGCGGAGACTGCCCAGGCGACCGACGGGTCGTAGGCGTACTGCTGTAGATATGCCACCTGTCCGATAGCCTGGGAGGAGGGCGAGAGGCAGGGAGGAAGGGAGAGCTTGAGGTGGGTGATCCTGTCTCCCAGGAGGATGACTGCCACGGATCCGACAGTCAGGCCTGAGACGGCTGAGACTGCCCAGGCGACCGAGGGGTCGTAGGCGTACTGCTGCAGATATGCCACCTGTCCGATTGCCTGGGAGGAGGGCGAGAGGCAGGGAGGAAGGGAGAGCTTGAGGTGGGTGATCCTGTCTCCCAGGAGGATGACTGCCACGGATCCGACAGTCAGGCCTGAGACGGCTGAGACTGCCCAAGCGACTGATGGGTCGTATGCGTACTGCTGCAGGTAGGCCACTTGGCCGATAGCCTGGGGAGTGGAGGGGGGCAGGGAGAAGGAGAGCTTGAGGTGGGTCGGTGATCTTGTCTCCCCGCAGTGGGGCGACTGAGGGGTCGTATGCGTACAACTGGAGGTAGGCCACTTGGCCTATGGCCTGGGGAGTGGAGGGGGAAGAATAGGGTGGGAAGCGGTGGGGTTGGGTTGAGGAGGGGCGACTGAGTGGTCGTATGCGTACTGCTGGAGGTAGGCCACTTGGCCGATAGCCTGTTGGCAGTGGAGGGGGGCAGGGAGAAGGAGAGCTTGAGGTGGGTCGGTGATCTTGTCTCCCCGCACGATGACTGCTACGGACCCGAGGCGCTCGTAATCTAGTAAAGACAAGAAGAATGTAATGAAATCAGGTAACGTACCTGCAGGGCACCGAACGCCACAGCCATATACTTCATGTACTGCTGCGCTTTCTTCCTCCCCGCCTCCCCCTCCTTCTTCTGCAGATCCCCAATCTTAGGGTACAGCGTCCCCAGCAGCTGGAACACGATCTGAGCGTTGATATACGGCACGATGCCCAGCGAAAACAATCCCAGCCGTCCAATCCCGCCCCCTGAGAGCGTGTCTAGGGTGGCCAGGAATGAGCCCTCCCCCAGTTGCTCCTGGAAGGCGGAGATATCGACGCCCCACAGGGGAATGTAGATTCCCACGCGGGATAGCGCGAGCAGACCCAGGAGCATGAGGAATTTCTTGGGTAAATCGCCCTTGAAAAAGTCGCCGATGTCGATCTTGCTGTCCTCCACTGGAAAGGTGGTGCGGGTCAGGTCAGGGGAGAGGTGGAAACGGGAGGCAGAGGGGGGAGAAAGAGGAGGGAGAACAAGGCAGAGAAAGGCAGAGAGATATAGTGGGAAGGCGGGGAGGAGGGATGAGGGAGAGATTGAAGCAGGGGAGGAAAAAAGGAAGAGGGAATTCGGTTTAGTCTTTTTTTTTTTCCCTCGCCCCCCCAAGTCCCCCAAGTCCCCCCCCCCCTCCCCCCCACCCGGGGGGGGATGGAGGGTGGGGGAGAGGGGACAGGGGGGACGGGAGGGTGGGAGGAAAGGAATAACATTCTGATGTATGTATTGAAATAATATCACAATCAAGAATCACGGAATATTCTCTCAAATTCAAGCTAGAATCAGCCAACCAGGCTTTGTGACTGTGACTGTAATGAAGGTGGCTGTAATGAAGGCGACTCGACCCGGGGGTTACTGCAATGAAGGCGACTCGACTCGGGGGTGACTGCAATGAAGGCGACTCGACTCGGGGGTGACTGCAATGAAGGCGACTCGACTCGGGGGTGACTGCAATGAAGGCGACTCGACTCGGGGGTGACTGTAATGAATGCGACTCGACCCGGGATTGACTGTAATGAAGGCGACTCGACTCGCGGTCGGCGTGACTATAACCAAGTTCAGGGCGGCATGGCCAGCCTCCTGTCAAGAGAGCATGCCACGTCAGCACTTGTTGCCACGTCAGCAGGACCTGGGTTGAGGTAGGGCCTGGGTCCGGTTCGGGTATGGGCTGCCTCACGTCTCTGCCCCGGGCCTCACGTCTCTGCCCCGGGCCTCACATCTCTGCCCCGGGCCTCACGTCTCTGCCCCGGGCCTCACATCTCTGCCCCGGGCCTCACATCTCTGCCCCGGGCCTCACGTCTCTGCCCCGGGCCTCACGTCTCTGCCCCGGGCCTCACATCTCTGCCCCGGGCCTCACATCTCTGCCCCGGGCCTCACATCTCTGCCCCGGGCCTCACATCTCTGCCCCGGGCCTCAATACCTACCATAACCAACAAACACCACCTAACATTATCTACCACAGAAACATAACATAATCCTAAACAGCACCTAAGTAAGTTTGATGCATTTTTTGTGAACATTTCTAGACATTACTACGGTACGGGGAATCTTTATCGCACCTGCAATTCGTAGTGGCACCTGTGCAAGGTCCACGGGGGGGAGGGGCGGGAGAGAGAGGAGGACGAGAGGAGAAGAGGAAATGCGGGTCAGGGGAGGTGCTATGAGGGGCAGGGCAGGGGGGTGATGATAGCAGCAAGCACTGCAATAAGAGCCGCAGCATAAGCAAGCAAAGCTCATTCCCCCCCACCTCCATGCGCATTTCCCCCCTGCACCGCACACCACCCCACCCCACCCAACACACTCACCATGTCGTGGCCGGCAGTTGGTGAGCTCGATGGAGGTGGCGACTCCCTCCCCCGCCATCTCCCTGACATGGCGGAACGGACGGCACGAGCAAACGGGGCAAAGCATGGGCAAAGGGGGCAACGCATGAGCAGAGGGGGAAAGGCATGGGCAGGGAGAACGGCATGAGCAGAGGGGGAAAGGCATGGGCAGGGAGAACGGCATGAGCAGAGGGGGAAAGGCATGCGCAAGGCGGGAATGCATGGGAAAGGCGGAAAGGCATGCGCAAGGCGGAAAGGCATGCGCAAGGCGGAAAGGCATGCGCAAGGCGGAAAGGCATGGGGAAGGCGGAAAGGCATGGGGAAGGCGGAAATGCATGGGCAAGGCGGAAAGGCAGGGGAAAGGCGGACATGCATGCGCAAGGCGGAAAGGCATGGGAAAAGGGGGGAACGGCGCGCTGACCTGCTCCGCGTGCAGCATGCTCGCCGGTGCTGTCCGCGCGGCCAGCAGCGCGCGCGGCGCTACCTGGTGAGCGCGGTGGGCGCCGTCACGGCGGGTGGAGCGGCGGCGGGTAGGCGCTGCTACGCTGGAGCCTGTCGTCCCTGCACAGCAAGGGGAGGGAGGGGCAGAGGGAGAGCGGAGGAAGGGACGGAGGGAGAGAGCAACGAGAAACCAAGAAAGGCAAGAGGGGTTGAGGACTGAAGTGAACTGTTTGGAAAGAATGCTCACGTAGGAGAGAAATGGGAAACATAACGGGAATTCCAGGGAGAAAACAGATAAAGAGGACAAAACGAAATAAAGTAATAAAACAGTAGAACAAAACGGATTTTGCATGGCGCATGGCACACATGCAGTCGCATGGCGCACATGCAATCGCGTGCTCATGAAATTTCAGCGTGCGCACATGCAGTGACAGTGCGCACCTGCTGGAGGGAGGAATAAGGGCCCTCCCACAGTGCGGGAGGGATCCGCCGCCTATGTTGAATCCCATGGGGGAAGGAATTCGAAGTCTAACGTGGGGAAGGCATTTAAGACCACTGATCGAGATGGGAGAGAAGGAATGGAGATCGGGAGAGCGGAAAAACGGAGACTAACGTGGGAGACGAAATTAGGAGATGAGCTGCGACCGATATGGGAGAGAATGAGTGGATCGGGAGAGCGGAGCTATGGAAAGTAACGTGGAAAATAATGGAGTTGAGATCGAAATGGGATGGGGATGGGATTGGGAGAGAAGCAAGGAAGGAGGAGTGGAGGAGATCGGGAGAGGAGTTGGAGAGGAGAGCAAGCAAGCAGATTTTGTTGACTCTCGCCACTGTAGCGCGAAATGACCAGCACCCTCGCCTCGGTCACCAAAACAGAAACGAATTGCAACTCTTCATACAAAAAAGGAACACTCCTCACCCTGGAACATGTAAACCTAAAACGAAAATAAGAGTGTACACCTAGAATCCACCTGCCCTGCACCAAAAAAACGATGGTGGGGACCAAATCTCAGAATTCACACACATTGCAAACCAAGTCGCGGAGCACAACACAAGCCTCCAATCCAAATCAAGTCGCTAAACACAAGTCGCGAAACATCCCACCGGTCCAATCAAACAGCACAAGCCATGCCAGCTAGCGCGGTCTGGGAAGTGACAGAAACGAGACTCGGATGATGTACAATCCAATATACAGTCATTGGTGCAGCGCTGGCGCGCTGCGCGATCCGCCTGGTGCCTGCAAACTTACTTTCTTATCAATCTATTCCCATGTACATGGGAATAGATTGATAAGAATGTAAGTTTGCATTTTCCTGGTTTATGTTTTCCTTCACGATGCATGCATTGTTATAAGCAAATATTCCAGAAAACAAGTGGGCTGACCCTGGTGTTGGTTGGTACATCTGCAGCAAAATCTTAGGCTAGCTAGTTCCTAGCTACCTATTTTTTAGCTATCTATTTGCTAGCTACCTAATTCCTGGCTAGTTATAGCCTGGCCTTGCCAATTCCTAGCTAGCCAATTTCTGGCCTGCCAACTCCTTGCTAACTCCTAGCCAATTCCTAGCTTGCTATTTCCTAGCTAGTAGCTAGTTAATTCCTAGCCAGCCAAATCATAGCTGGTAACTAGTTCCTAGCCAGCCACATCCTAGCAAGCTAATCCCTAGCTAGCTGCCGTAATTCCTAGTCAACCAAATCCTAACTACCGTAGCTAATTTGTAGATAGTTTACTACTCCTGGCTAACCTACGAGAAAGGGGCATCTGCGAGGGCGTGTTCCGGCTTCGTCTGTACGCGGTAAACACGATTGGATGTATCAGGGATGTGTCAGGAAGATGCTTCCTTGTGTCACACTCATTGTGGAGTTGATGAAAAGACTGACGTTGCAGATAATGACACCATCTCAAATCGACACGCAACAGGGCCTGGCCTGCAATCGTGCCAACCAAGCGATGGCCCGATACAAACACAGAGACTCAAAAGCTTGAAGCAATCTAATTCAGTAACGCACCACTCCATGCGCTTGACATTGATGTCATTCAACACAGAAACCTTGGTCGTCACGATGCAAGTGTGTAACACTCTATCATGCAGTTGCTTGAACCTAGTTTCACATCAACACGAAGCCACAAGGTACTTTATACGATACCTTGTGCACACCGATGCTGCTCTACTCTAAATATCCAGCCTCAGCATTCACCTAGGAGGCGGAATCCCTCCACCACCCGCACTGATATCATCCAGCTCAATCGTCCTATACTTCTGCGAAACCAGCTCCGCCTGCACCTTCCTGGCTGTATCGGTAGCGCATCCGACTAAAATGAGGATGGACGTTCCAGCAAACCCCCGGAAGGCCGTGAGGTGAGTGATTCCTTCCACAAGAGCCGGCGCTGCTGCCATCGTGCCGAGAAACGCCGACCCGAGCACCGAAATGCGGGTGAGGACCTGGTGTTAAGTAGTTAAAGAAGCAAGAGTAATGGGGAGAAAGGGAGAAGGGGATGGGAGGGGGAAGGAGAAGCCAAAGAGGGAAAGGAAACACGAGTGGGGAAAGGGCTGAGAGGGAGCCGGCCAGGAGTCATCATGGAGTGTTTGCGAGGCCAAACGGAGCTTGGTGATGAGCATGGCTGCTGCCTTGCCAGGCCTGGTGTAGGCCACAGACGCGCCCTGCCTCTTGAGAAAGTGGGCCGTATGCCGGATTTACGAACGTACAATGAGTGAACAAGGGCGACTCACCTTGGTGATGAGTGCGGCTGTTGCTTTGCCGGGCCTCGTGTTGGGTACGGACGCACCCTGCCTCTTGAGCTGGTCGCTGACATCAGCAGGGTCGAGTTGCAGGAAGGTGTAGAAGTAGTTGAAGAAGGCAATGAGTGCCACGTTGGCGGGGAGGTAGAAGAAACCTGGGGATTAGCGGAACACATGGGGAGAGAGGATGTTGATTGAAGATGCAAGGAGAAAGAAAGGAGAAGGAGCGAGTAAGTGAGTTGCAGGAAGGTGTAGAAGTAGTTGAGAAAGGCGAACAGTGCCACGTTAGCAGGCAGATAGAAGAAACCTGGAGATTAGCGGAACACATGGGGAGAGAGGATGTTGATTGAAGATGCAAGGAGAAAGAAAGGAGAAGGAGCGAGTAAGTGAGTTGCAGGAAGGTGTGGAAGTAGTTGAGAAAGGCGAACAGTGCCACGTTAGCAGGCAGATAGAAGAAACCTGGAGATTAGCGGAACACATGGGGAGAGAGGATGTTGATTGAAGATGCAAGGAGAAAGAAAGGAGAAGGAGCGAGTAAGTGAGTTGCAGGAAGGTGTGGAAGTAGTTGAAGAATGCAATCAGTGCCACGTTGGCGGGGAGGTAGAAGAAACCTGGGGATGAGTGGAGCAGGGAAATCAAAGGGAGTGGAGGAGGGAGAGGGAGCAGGGAGAGGAGTGAGTGAGTTGCAGGAAGGTGTAGAAGTAGTTGAAGAATGCGATGAGTGCCACGTTGGCAGGCGGGTAGAGGAGACCTGGGGATTAGTGGAACACATGGTGGTAAAAAGAGTGAGAGGATGACGGAAAAGCAGAGTGATAAATTTGCAGTAAGGTGTAGAAGTAGTTGAAGAAAGCGATCAGTGCCACGTTGGCAGGCAGATAGATCGGTAAAGCGAGCTATGGAGTAGGGAGCAGGAGCAGTCTGGTTACCCTATTACTGACCTGTGGTTACCATGTAACATACCTCCAGGGTAGAGAGCTGTAGCAGCGGACTGGAAAGCAGCACTTCCGGTAAAGCGAGCGATGGAGTAGGGAGCAGCGAGGAGCGAGGAAGAGAAGATAATTGGCATGACTCCCGTTGAGTTGACCTGCAGAGGGGGGAAGAGGAAGAGACGGGTAGAGGGTAGATGAGAAAGATGTTGATCCGAGAGGGTGGAACATAAGAAAGACGAAGGAGAGAGGAGGAGAAGACGATTGGCATGACTTTCGTTGAGTTGACCTGCGGGGGGGATTAGAGGTTGGATAAGAGAAAAGAGGTGGTTGTGAGAGAGGGGTGGTTGGAGAGAATGGGTAGATGAGAGAGAAAGGAACGGCAGATAATTGAGAAGAGAGGAGTAAACGTGAGGCATGGCTTCTGTTGAGTTGAGTGTGGGGGTTGGTGGGGGGGGGGGGGGGAAGGGTGAGTGAGTGAGGGGTCGATGCAAGAAAAAGAAAGCGGTGTGTTACATTCGCGGGAGAGATGCTACCTTCGAGGGGGAGGTGTTACCTTCCAGGGGGAGGTGCTGCCTTTCAGGGGGAGGTGTAACCTTCCAGAGGGAGGTGCTGCCTTTCAGGGGGAGGTGTTGCCTTTCAGGGGGAGGTGTTACCTTGAATGGCAGGTACGCATTCCGCGTCTTGATGTTGTACCGAGACGCATAGTTGATTGGAATACGCCGCTCTGCCTCCTGCTCGGTGGAAGGGATTAAGTTGTGGTGGTGGTGGGGGTGGTGGGGGTGGTAGGGGGAGTGGGAAGAACGGAGAAAAGAGGACGGGGAATTTGAATTGGTTGTATCGAGACACATAGTTGACGGGAATACGCCGCTCTGCTTCCTGCTTGGAGGGAAAGGGGTAGTGGATAGGGTAGAGGGTGGGAGGGGAAGGGGAGGAGAGGGTAGAAAGAGAGTAGAGGGTGAGATGGTGCATGGGGTTGGTTGTACCGTTATGCGTAGTTGATGGGGATGTGACACTCTGCCTCCTACTCGGAGGGAAGGGGGAAGTTGGAGCTGGTTGTAGCGGCACATAGTTGTTGGGAATGCGACTCCCCGCCTTCTGCTCAGAAGGCTGGCAGGCAGGCCGGCAGAGAGGCATAGAGCAGGAACCCACCTGCACCCATTCACACCCACCTGCACGTAGACAATCCCAAGGACGAGCAGCAGGAAGGAGGCCAGCAGCAGCGCCTCGCCGGTAACGTTCCCCTGCTCAGACGCCTCTGTGATGCAGGTAGGCAGGCAGGAGGAATATAGCACACCCATCCACACCCATCTGTACCGCACCCACCTGCACGTAGACGATGCCGAACACGAGCAGCAGGAAGGACGCGAGCAGCAGCGCCTCTCCGGTCACATTCCCTTGTTCAGAAGCCTCTGTGATCGTCCTCCCAATGGACGCCGGCAGGTAGGAAACGATATTGGTGAAGATGAGCAGAGAGGTGCCGTTGCCGAGCTTGAGATCAGTGATCTTGTCTCCCAGCAGGATGACTGCCACGGATCCCAAAGTGAGGCCCGAGACGGCGGAGACTGCCCAGGCGACCGACGGGTCGTAGGCGTACTGCTGTAGATATGCCACCTGTCCGATAGCCTGGGAGGAGGGCGAGAGGCAGGGAGGAAGGGAGAGCTTGAGGTGGGTGATCCTGTCTCCCAGGAGGATGACTGCCACGGATCCGACAGTCAGGCCTGAGACGGCTGAGACTGCCCAGGCGACCGAGGGGTCGTAGGCGTACTGCTGCAGATATGCCACCTGTCCGATTGCCTGGGAGGAGGGCGAGAGGCAGGGAGGAAGGGAGAGCTTGAGGTGGGTGATCCTGTCTCCCAGGAGGATGACTGCCACGGATCCGACAGTCAGGCCTGAGACGGCTGAGACTGCCCAAGCGACTGATGGGTCGTATGCGTACTGCTGCAGGTAGGCCACTTGGCCGATAGCCTGGGGAGTGGAGGGGGGCAGGGAGAAGGAGAGCTTGAGGTGGGTCGGTGATCTTGTCTCCCCGCAGTGGGGCGACTGAGGGGTCGTATGCGTACAACTGGAGGTAGGCCACTTGGCCTATGGCCTGGGGAGTGGAGGGGGAAGAATAGGGTGGGAAGCGGTGGGGTTGGGTTGAGGAGGGGCGACTGAGTGGTCGTATGCGTACTGCTGGAGGTAGGCCACTTGGCCGATAGCCTGTTGGCAGTGGAGGGGGGCAGGGAGAAGGAGAGCTTGAGGTGGGTCGGTGATCTTGTCTCCCCGCACGATGACTGCTACGGACCCGAGGCGCTCGTAATCTAGTAAAGACAAGAAGAATGTAATGAAATCAGGTAACGTACCTGCAGGGCACCGAACGCCACAGCCATATACTTCATGTACTGCTGCGCTTTCTTCCTCCCCGCCTCCCCCTCCTTCTTCTGCAGATCCCCAATCTTAGGGTACAGCGTCCCCAGCAGCTGGAACACGATCTGAGCGTTGATATACGGCACGATGCCCAGCGAAAACAATCCCAGCCGTCCAATCCCGCCCCCTGAGAGCGTGTCTAGGGTGGCCAGGAATGAGCCCTCCCCCAGTTGCTCCTGGAAGGCGGAGATATCGACGCCCCACAGGGGAATGTAGATTCCCACGCGGGATAGCGCGAGCAGACCCAGGAGCATGAGGAATTTCTTGGGTAAATCGCCCTTGAAAAAGTCGCCGATGTCGATCTTGCTGTCCTCCACTGGAAAGGTGGTGCGGGTCAGGTCAGGGGAGAGGTGGAAACGGGAGGCAGAGGGGGGAGAAAGAGGAGGGAGAACAAGGCAGAGAAAGGCAGAGAGATATAGTGGGAAGGCGGGGAGGAGGGATGAGGGAGAGATTGAAGCAGGGGAGGAAAAAAGGAAGAGGGAATTCGGTTTAGTCTTTTTTTTTTCCCTCGCCCCCCCAAGTCCCCCAAGTCCCCCCCCCCCTCCCCCCCACCCGGGGGGGGATGGAGGGTGGGGGAGAGGGGACAGGGGGGACGGGAGGGTGGGAGGAAAGGAATAACATTCTGATGTATGTATTGAAATAATATCACAATCAAGAATCACGGAATATTCTCTCAAATTCAAGCTAGAATCAGCCAACCAGGCTTTGTGACTGTGACTGTAATGAAGGTGGCTGTAATGAAGGCGACTCGACCCGGGGGTTACTGCAATGAAGGCGACTCGACTCGGGGGTGACTGCAATGAAGGCGACTCGACTCGGGGGTGACTGCAATGAAGGCGACTCGACTCGGGGGTGACTGCAATGAAGGCGACTCGACTCGGGGGTGACTGTAATGAATGCGACTCGACCCGGGATTGACTGTAATGAAGGCGACTCGACTCGCGGTCGGCGTGACTATAACCAAGTTCAGGGCGGCATGGCCAGCCTCCTGTCAAGAGAGCATGCCACGTCAGCACTTGTTGCCACGTCAGCAGGACCTGGGTTGAGGTAGGGCCTGGGTCCGGTTCGGGTATGGGCTGCCTCACGTCTCTGCCCCGGGCCTCACGTCTCTGCCCCGGGCCTCACATCTCTGCCCCGGGCCTCACGTCTCTGCCCCGGGCCTCACATCTCTGCCCCGGGCCTCACATCTCTGCCCCGGGCCTCACGTCTCTGCCCCGGGCCTCACGTCTCTGCCCCGGGCCTCACATCTCTGCCCCGGGCCTCACATCTCTGCCCCGGGCCTCACATCTCTGCCCCGGGCCTCAATACCTACCATAACCAACAAACACCACCTAACATTATCTACCACAGAAACATAACATAATCCTAAACAGCACCTAAGTAAGTTTGATGCATTTTTTGTGAACATTTCTAGACATTACTACGGTACGGGGAATCTTTATCGCACCTGCAATTCGTAGTGGCACCTGTGCAAGGTCCACGGGGGGGAGGGGCGGGAGAGAGAGGAGGACGAGAGGAGAAGAGGAAATGCGGGTCAGGGGAGGTGCTATGAGGGGCAGGGCAGGGGGGTGATGATAGCAGCAAGCACTGCAATAAGAGCCGCAGCATAAGCAAGCAAAGCTCATTCCCCCCCACCTCCATGCGCATTTCCCCCCTGCACCGCACACCACCCCACCCCACCCAACACACTCACCATGTCGTGGCCGGCAGTTGGTGAGCTCGATGGAGGTGGCGACTCCCTCCCCCGCCATCTCCCTGACATGGCGGAACGGACGGCACGAGCAAACGGGGCAAAGCATGGGCAAAGGGGGCAACGCATGAGCAGAGGGGGAAAGGCATGGGCAGGGAGAACGGCATGAGCAGAGGGGGAAAGGCATGGGCAGGGAGAACGGCATGAGCAGAGGGGGAAAGGCATGCGCAAGGCGGGAATGCATGGGAAAGGCGGAAAGGCATGCGCAAGGCGGAAAGGCATGCGCAAGGCGGAAAGGCATGCGCAAGGCGGAAAGGCATGGGGAAGGCGGAAAGGCATGGGGAAGGCGGAAATGCATGGGCAAGGCGGAAAGGCAGGGGAAAGGCGGACATGCATGCGCAAGGCGGAAAGGCATGGGAAAAGGGGGGAACGGCGCGCTGACCTGCTCCGCGTGCAGCATGCTCGCCGGTGCTGTCCGCGCGGCCAGCAGCGCGCGCGGCGCTACCTGGTGAGCGCGGTGGGCGCCGTCACGGCGGGTGGAGCGGCGGCGGGTAGGCGCTGCTACGCTGGAGCCTGTCGTCCCTGCACAGCAAGGGGAGGGAGGGGCAGAGGGAGAGCGGAGGAAGGGACGGAGGGAGAGAGCAACGAGAAACCAAGAAAGGCAAGAGGGGTTGAGGACTGAAGTGAACTGTTTGGAAAGAATGCTCACGTAGGAGAGAAATGGGAAACATAACGGGAATTCCAGGGAGAAAACAGATAAAGAGGACAAAACGAAATAAAGTAATAAAACAGTAGAACAAAACGGATTTTGCATGGCGCATGGCACACATGCAGTCGCATGGCGCACATGCAATCGCGTGCTCATGAAATTTCAGCGTGCGCACATGCAGTGACAGTGCGCACCTGCTGGAGGGAGGAATAAGGGCCCTCCCACAGTGCGGGAGGGATCCGCCGCCTATGTTGAATCCCATGGGGGAAGGAATTCGAAGTCTAACGTGGGGAAGGCATTTAAGACCACTGATCGAGATGGGAGAGAAGGAATGGAGATCGGGAGAGCGGAAAAACGGAGACTAACGTGGGAGACGAAATTAGGAGATGAGCTGCGACCGATATGGGAGAGAATGAGTGGATCGGGAGAGCGGAGCTATGGAAAGTAACGTGGAAAATAATGGAGTTGAGATCGAAATGGGATGGGGATGGGATTGGGAGAGAAGCAAGGAAGGAGGAGTGGAGGAGATCGGGAGAGGAGTTGGAGAGGAGAGCAAGCAAGCAGATTTTGTTGACTCTCGCCACTGTAGCGCGAAATGACCAGCACCCTCGCCTCGGTCACCAAAACAGAAACGAATTGCAACTCTTCATACAAAAAAGGAACACTCCTCACCCTGGAACATGTAAACCTAAAACGAAAATAAGAGTGTACACCTAGAATCCACCTGCCCTGCACCAAAAAAACGATGGTGGGGACCAAATCTCAGAATTCACACACATTGCAAACCAAGTCGCGGAGCACAACACAAGCCTCCAATCCAAATCAAGTCGCTAAACACAAGTCGCGAAACATCCCACCGGTCCAATCAAACAGCACAAGCCATGCCAGCTAGCGCGGTCTGGGAAGTGACAGAAACGAGACTCGGATGATGTACAATCCAATATACAGTCATTGGTGCAGCGCTGGCGCGCTGCGCGATCCGCCTGGTGCCTGCAAACTTACTTTCTTATCAATCTATTCCCATGTACATGGGAATAGATTGATAAGAATGTAAGTTTGCATTTTCCTGGTTTATGTTTTCCTTCACGATGCATGCATTGTTATAAGCAAATATTCCAGAAAACAAGTGGGCTGACCCTGGTGTTGGTTGGTACATCTGCAGCAAAATCTTAGGCTAGCTAGTTCCTAGCTACCTATTTTTTAGCTATCTATTTGCTAGCTACCTAATTCCTGGCTAGTTATAGCCTGGCCTTGCCAATTCCTAGCTAGCCAATTTCTGGCCTGCCAACTCCTTGCTAACTCCTAGCCAATTCCTAGCTTGCTATTTCCTAGCTAGTAGCTAGTTAATTCCTAGCCAGCCAAATCATAGCTGGTAACTAGTTCCTAGCCAGCCACATCCTAGCAAGCTAATCCCTAGCTAGCTGCCGTAATTCCTAGTCAACCAAATCCTAACTACCGTAGCTAATTTGTAGATAGTTTACTACTCCTGGCTAACCTACGAGAAAGGGGCATCTGCGAGGGCGTGTTCCGGCTTCGTCTGTACGCGGTAAACACGATTGGATGTATCAGGGATGTGTCAGGAAGATGCTTCCTTGTGTCACACTCATTGTGGAGTTGATGAAAAGACTGACGTTGCAGATAATGACACCATCTCAAATCGACACGCAACAGGGCCTGGCCTGCAATCGTGCCAACCAAGCGATGGCCCGATACAAACACAGAGACTCAAAAGCTTGAAGCAATCTAATTCAGTAACGCACCACTCCATGCGCTTGACATTGATGTCATTCAACACAGAAACCTTGGTCGTCACGATGCAAGTGTGTAACACTCTATCATGCAGTTGCTTGAACCTAGTTTCACATCAACACGAAGCCACAAGGTACTTTATACGATACCTTGTGCACACCGATGCTGCTCTACTCTAAATATCCAACCTCAGCATTCACCTAGGAGGCGGAATCCCTCCACCACCCGCACTGATATCATCCAGCTCAATCGTCCTATACTTCTGCGAAACCAGCTCCGCCTGCACCTTCCTGGCTGTATCGGTAGCGCATCCGACTAAAATGAGGATGGACGTTCCAGCAAACCCCCGGAAGGCCGTGAGGTGAGTGATTCCTTCCACAAGAGCCGGCGCTGCTGCCATCGTGCCGAGAAACGCCGACCCGAGCACCGAAATGCGGGTGAGGACCTGGTGTTAAGTAGTTAAAGAAGCAAGAGTAATGGGGAGAAAGGGAGAAGGGGATGGGAGGGGGAAGGAGAAGCCAAAGAGGGAAAGGAAACACGAGTGGGGAAAGGGCTGAGAGGGAGCCGGCCAGGAGTCATCATGGAGTGTTTGCGAGGCCAAACGGAGCTTGGTGATGAGCATGGCTGCTGCCTTGCCAGGCCTGGTGTAGGCCACAGACGCGCCCTGCCTCTTGAGAAAGTGGGCCGTATGCCGGATTTACGAACGTACAATGAGTGAACAAGGGCGACTCACCTTGGTGATGAGTGCGGCTGTTGCTTTGCCGGGCCTCGTGTTGGGTACGGACGCACCCTGCCTCTTGAGCTGGTCGCTGACATCAGCAGGGTCGAGTTGCAGGAAGGTGTAGAAGTAGTTGAAGAAGGCAATGAGTGCCACGTTGGCGGGGAGGTAGAAGAAACCTGGGGATTAGCGGAACACATGGGGAGAGAGGATGTTGATTGAAGATGCAAGGAGAAAGAAAGGAGAAGGAGCGAGTAAGTGAGTTGCAGGAAGGTGTAGAAGTAGTTGAGAAAGGCGAACAGTGCCACGTTAGCAGGCAGATAGAAGAAACCTGGAGATTAGCGGAACACATGGGGAGAGAGGATGTTGATTGAAGATGCAAGGAGAAAGAAAGGAGAAGGAGCGAGTAAGTGAGTTGCAGGAAGGTGTGGAAGTAGTTGAGAAAGGCGAACAGTGCCACGTTAGCAGGCAGATAGAAGAAACCTGGAGATTAGCGGAACACATGGGGAGAGAGGATGTTGATTGAAGATGCAAGGAGAAAGAAAGGAGAAGGAGCGAGTAAGTGAGTTGCAGGAAGGTGTGGAAGTAGTTGAAGAATGCAATCAGTGCCACGTTGGCGGGGAGGTAGAAGAAACCTGGGGATGAGTGGAGCAGGGAAATCAAAGGGAGTGGAGGAGGGAGAGGGAGCAGGGAGAGGAGTGAGTGAGTTGCAGGAAGGTGTAGAAGTAGTTGAAGAATGCGATGAGTGCCACGTTGGCAGGCGGGTAGAGGAGACCTGGGGATTAGTGGAACACATGGTGGTAAAAAGAGTGAGAGGATGACGGAAAAGCAGAGTGATAAATTTGCAGTAAGGTGTAGAAGTAGTTGAAGAAAGCGATCAGTGCCACGTTGGCAGGCAGATAGATCGGTAAAGCGAGCTATGGAGTAGGGAGCAGGAGCAGTCTGGTTACCCTATTACTGACCTGTGGTTACCATGTAACATACCTCCAGGGTAGAGAGCTGTAGCAGCGGACTGGAAAGCAGCACTTCCGGTAAAGCGAGCGATGGAGTAGGGAGCAGCGAGGAGCGAGGAAGAGAAGATAATTGGCATGACTCCCGTTGAGTTGACCTGCAGAGGGGGGAAGAGGAAGAGACGGGTAGAGGGTAGATGAGAAAGATGTTGATCCGAGAGGGTGGAACATAAGAAAGACGAAGGAGAGAGGAGGAGAAGACGATTGGCATGACTTTCGTTGAGTTGACCTGCGGGGGGGATTAGAGGTTGGATAAGAGAAAAGAGGTGGTTGTGAGAGAGGGGTGGTTGGAGAGAATGGGTAGATGAGAGAGAAAGGAACGGCAGATAATTGAGAAGAGAGGAGTAAACGTGAGGCATGGCTTCTGTTGAGTTGAGTGTGGGGGTTGGTGGGGGGGGGGGGGGGAAGGGTGAGTGAGTGAGGGGTCGATGCAAGAAAAAGAAAGCGGTGTGTTACATTCGCGGGAGAGATGCTACCTTCGAGGGGGAGGTGTTACCTTCCAGGGGGAGGTGCTGCCTTTCAGGGGGAGGTGTAACCTTCCAGAGGGAGGTGCTGCCTTTCAGGGGGAGGTGTTGCCTTTCAGGGGGAGGTGTTACCTTGAATGGCAGGTACGCATTCCGCGTCTTGATGTTGTACCGAGACGCATAGTTGATTGGAATACGCCGCTCTGCCTCCTGCTCGGTGGAAGGGATTAAGTTGTGGTGGTGGTGGGGGTGGTGGGGGTGGTAGGGGGAGTGGGAAGAACGGAGAAAAGAGGACGGGGAATTTGAATTGGTTGTATCGAGACACATAGTTGACGGGAATACGCCGCTCTGCTTCCTGCTTGGAGGGAAAGGGGTAGTGGATAGGGTAGAGGGTGGGAGGGGAAGGGGAGGAGAG